TCGTCCGTTATGGCCATAAATGGAGGCAATTACCAACACTTCCAACGGTATTTAGCCGACCCGTCCGGTCCGAAATTGAAGTAAAATAAACAAAATTAATATGCTGCCACCCGTCGGGAGGCCCGAAGGCACGTCTAAGCACAATGGACCGCCCGCTGGAGAGTCCAGCACATGTTTGTGGGCTGAGTGGGCGAATTTCGACCAGGTCGTTCAGTCATGTGGATACGTATATCTGGCAAACATGTCAGGGTGGCGGGGACACAATGTTATATATTCGCCGCTTATTATTTTGCAATTGGGGCTCGGACACCAGCAATGCGCACTCACTTAATTGTTATGCATGTGTTTGCAAAGCAACGAGCAAACAATTCTGAAACTGAATCCTGTCGTCCTTCAAGTGACTTTGCAGGACGATTTACAGATAGCAACAACCACCTCCGCAATGAAGTGCTGGCCATGTTGCATTATGAATACCAGCAAGCAGAAGTTAATATTTAATTTATTTCTGAAATGATAATGGTTCTGTAAAAATATTAAAAAAAATATTTATAAGTCAAGAAAAATATTTATATATATTTTTTAAAAGAACCATTTCCTTTTAGGGATCCATAAAAAGTTGGCCTGAAAAAGCCTAAAAGGTCAGCTCTGAGTGACACTTGTCTGGCCGTTCATTAAGCCTCGACAAAATGGCGTATCAAGAGCACAAAACTAAATATGGCCGAGCATTTCATCTCTCCAAATGTCAACAAGGTCGCCCCCAAACGAGCCGAAGGGATCAGAGGTCAGAGATCCGGATCGGGCCCACATATCGGCGCACCGCAATGCCATACACAAACACCGAATCTCCGCCCGTCAGTGCTTAATTAAATCTCCCCGGACAAGTTTATTTCACTTTCTCCTTCCTGGCGGCCTGTCAAATTAGGGCCAACTCCCCGCAAAAAGGCAGCGGCTGTTGCACACTAACTCTGTGGTTTGCGACTGAAACTAATTTCAGCTAGATGATGTCAAGCCATTAAGTTATATTTGGCCAGCTGGGAGAAGTGGCGACCGCTCCAGAAATAGTTGAGTTGAGTTGAGTTCTGTTGGCCATGATAGTGGCCGTAAAGCCCGCCGAGGGTCAAAGTCAAAGGAGCAAAGTTCACTGAGCCCGTTCGCAGGACTTGTTGCATACTTTTGCGGGCTTTCCACTGAAATGATAAAGCGGAATTGCTCGTAAACGGGGGAGCAGGCGTGGAAAATTACAAGGACTCTTGAATATAAAGTTTGCTAATTGGACTCCATGCGGGGCTTACAGTAAATTTAATACTACAAGTTCTAACTACGTTTGTCAAGGGGTAAACTTATTAAAGTTAAACTGCAATTATGATTAAGGGGGAAACTAATGGCTCCCATGTGGATCGTAAATGAGGGCTAAGCTATGAGAAACTAGAATTTAATTAAATTAAATTACAACCATATTTTATTTCAAACCTAATAATTTAACTCTTAAACTGGTAGGGAATTTATGATTTATTACATGGGTATTATTTTAAAAAGTTAAGTAGATGTTTGCCATATGGCCAAGGGTTTTATCGCACTCAACAAAATAAATGTAAATTGCTCTAGTTGCTAAAAGTTAAGCCGCATTCACAACAGGATTAAATCTGAGTCCCCAACGCAGTAAGCCTGCCAGTCTGACGTCAATGATGGGCATATTTATTTGCCACTGGCAATATCTGAGTTTTTCATTTGACTTTACCCATCTTTAGGCCTCTCGACTGGCAGGAGTGTTTTAATTTGTCAACCCCTGTTTCGGCAAATCTCACCTGCCAGGTGGGACGACCAGCTGAGTGCCTGCCTACAGCTGATTAAGCTCATTTATCAAAAGTGAAGCCAGCCAGATGGAGAGGGCTCCAAGTGCTTCAGCTTCGGCTTAAGGTTCACGCAATTAAATGGCCCAAAGTGGAGACCAAGAAATCGCCCACGGCATTCGCACAGTACGAAAAGTTGAAGTCAATATTGATATTCATGTTGGCAATCCGAAATTCGCCTACAAATTCCCAAGGAGCAACGAAGGGGAAACGCAGGCTTGTAGGCCAAGGAATTTTGGTATTTGAAAAGTTTCCAGGCGCGCATCAATTTGGCAAGACAAACATATAATCGTTAAAGTTTTAATTGTACTGCGTAAATGATGTTTCGCTGCCATCTAAATTTAGATTGAACAAAGTTTAGATATATATTAAGAAAGTTTGCTTTGCTCGGGAGGGCAGAATTTAATTCGAATTGATAACATTATCACAAATCTAATGAATCTATAAATTAGATAAAAATTTGTGTGTGCGAAGATAATCATCTTAATTCTTTAACTCCTGGAGGTAAAAATTACAAATAAATCACTATCTATGCAAATCATTTTAAAGGTATACACTTGTATGTAAACTTTAAAAAGCACTATCCCTACAGACTTAAATCACCCGAGGGAAAAGTATTTTCAGCTTTCATCTAGCGGCTGCGCCTGTCTCAAGGAATTCTGTTCTGACATTTGTCAAATAGTTGGCAACTTTCTTCAATTCACCCAGAACCATAACTTGACAAAAAATGACGCCATAACCACCCTTCCGAGTTGTCCTGCCTTCGCCAGACATCTCGAAACTATTGACGTGTTTCACTTTTTATGGCATGCTCCTCCTGGGACGCCAGTTGGGCCCACTTCCTCCGCATTTCTGCCGTTGGCTTATTACATCGCAAAGTTGATTTCATGGCATTCTTGTGGTGAATCCTCTGCGTTGACAGAGGGCAAAGGAATCGAGCTTGGAGGAGCTCAGACAACATGACACGAAACCAGTGCTGAAAGGTCAGTACTGAAAAAAAATTTATTTAGAAATGGTTTTTCAGAAGTCCGTAGTTTTATGGAAAATGGTTAAAAAAATTGTTTACTTAGTATTTAGGAATTATATTTTAGAATAAAACATCTACAAATATTTTTATGGTATTTTTACCATAAAAATCCAATTAATAAGAAAATCTGATGACCAAATGGATTAAAGTTGTGTTTTTGTTTTCTGCGTATTTAAATTTATTTATTAAATAATATTTCTTTAAAATCTTCAATTTTTTTTCTAGCTTCTTAGATCGGCGGCTGGCAGCACTGACTGACACCACACACAAAAAAAGAACTTGGTAAAATCAACTGTAATAATTGTCAAACAGGCCCCAACCAGCAAAATTGTCAATTCTACTAAGTAAATAGTCATTTCACAACAACAAAATACACACAATTAGCAAAGACACAAACCCAAAGCAAAAACAAAATACACGTAACTATTTTAATAGTTACGTAACTATCTTTGTTGGTCAATTTTACCAAGCAAATTTTTTTGTGTGCAGCTGAATGATTGAGTCCGGCATTTGGGAAACAAATTGCTGGAGATTTCCCCAAAATCCTTCTTTGGCCAACGCCTTTTGGCCAGGACCTGCTGAACAAATGAACAATTTGGTGAATTAATTTGATGTCTCGGCTGATTCGCTTCTCGTTATTCGGAGACACAAAGATACATCTGTCTGCGACCCAACCACAAAAAACTTTGCATAATGGAGCACAGTAAATGGCCTTGTCCTCCTGAAAAGAAATGTACGGCATTCCACAGATGTCACATGTGCAGGACAAAGGGTCGAAACAAAGGATACATTGCAGCCGAATGATTAATTTCAACTCATGGAGCATATTGCTTTGATGATGATAACGACCATGTTGATGTCAAGTTCATCATTGACCGAAGTTTACTGCTCCAAATTGGTCCATCTATCTTGATGACTTTGAATAATATGGTTAGATTAAAATGCTGTTGGTTTAATAAATGCGTAAACACTAAGTGAACTTTGGTAAAAATACGAAATATTTACTATATACTTATGAGGGATTTTCCCCTTACCTTTCATATAAAATGCATAGAATTTTGTTACTCTGCTAAAAAGCAATTAACTAGGATTTAATATAAATAATTGAATAAAAGGCCACCCAATGTGCTTTTTTGTTCTCAAAAAAAGTCAGAGTACTGTTGATTTAAATAGACTTTTGAAAATCCTTTTTTAAGACTAAAATGCCAACTAACTGTATGCGGGTAGATCATTTTATTTTTTTAACCTTTTTAAACCTTTAGTACTATGTATTTTTTGGTCTCACAGTTTTTCGCATAGATGTACATCCACAACTGGCACAAAAACAATGCCCTTGGACTGCATTTTAATGTTCAACTTGTGGTTGAGTAAATAACTAACCAGCTCTCTCGTCGTGGAAAATTCCCCAGTCCCCATGGAAAATTATCCTGCCGGACATGCTGGTAGCAAACTATTTTTAAAGAGTTGAAAGCGATTCAACGAAAAGGGAATTTATGAAATTAGCATAAGCTGAACCCAAACAAAATTTACAACTTTGAGTGGCCTATGGAGAGGGCTCGGATGATTTGAGATTCATTGAAGTGAACAAACGAAGGCGAATCCAAAAATACCTTTCGACTGCAAGGGGGATAAGGAAACGGACAAATACCGAAAAATATGGCTGGGCCTGGGAATTATTTATTTTACTTTCATTTCTGCCGCGGGTCCTTTCCGCTTTCCGTTTCCCTTTGTCCCTTTGTCCGACTGTCTGTGTAATCGGCTAGAAGGGCTTAGATAAAACACGAAATGGCCAAAAAAAGGAACTTGTCGCTAAGAGCATCTACACCCACACACAATGCACATGTATGCAAACAACCTACGGGGTCCGAGTTCGATAACCGGAATCTGGACACTAAGCGAGGGCCCAAAGGCTTAGCCATTGTTGTCCGAAAAATGTGCAGACGTCAGCAAATATAAAATATGTAAATAATAAAATATATGTAGAAAATTAAGGAACTTATATAAAAAATGGTAAGTAAGAAAAATGTTATAAAATTAAATAAGATAATAAAATTACAAAAATTTAAATTTTTACCAAAACACTCTTTAAATAGATTTTAAGACTTTATGTTTCATAAATACATTTTATACTTTATCAACCAGATGCTGGCCGAATCGAACAATCGTGGAGACCACATGTATCATGTAGACGAAAATCAGGGCCAGGACGGAGGCCTGCAGGACGTTATCCGATCGGTCCATGTACTCGAACCTCCGCTGATGGACGACGGTGATGGTGAAGAGGATGAGGGTGGCCGCGTAGAGCAGACTGACCATGGACACATAACGCAACATGTAGCGATTGCCATTCAGATACACAATGACGTAGATCGAGACGACAATCACTAGACAGCATAATGTGAGGATGATCATGAAAACGGGACCCGGCAGCACCTTCAGCGGCAGAAAGATGCCCATCATGTAGAGCAGGATGCTCAAGATCACGACGATTATGAGGACACCAGCCACCCAGGACATCGAGACACGCGGCCACATTTCACTATTCACAAAGAGCACCATCAATTCCACGATGACGATGGCCAGCAGGCAGTTGCAGGGACACTGGTTGGCGAAGTACACAAAGGCCAGGATCATAACGCAGGCCACTGCCAGGAGCAGCCACAGGAAGCTCGGGATCGTGGGGCTGATCAGCTTGCCAAAGTCCTTTTTGAGGACTCGCAGGGTCACCAGTTGGATGACCGCGCAGGTCGAAAGAATCGCGTGCAGCAGGTAGACCCAGATGAGGTGACGCCTCTTCAGGCTGATGTTCGATCGTTGGCTCCTGGAGGCCACTGAGGATGCTATCGGGCTCAGAATCGGTGATTCTACTCGAGGCTGCGTCGGCTTCTGAGGTGGTGTAGGTGGCGGCTGCACAGGAGCTACCTTCGGTGGTGGCGGAGAAGGCGGCACAGTAGCTGCCTTCGGAGGTGGTGCTGGAGCAGGGACAGGAGCCGGGGGAGGGGGCTTCGGCGGAGGCGGAGGAATAGTCGTCTTTTGCACATTCGGCTTGCGTTGGCCCGTTGAAGTACGGGGAGAGGGCTGTGGATTTCGTTTACTCATCTTCCTCCGCGGTTATGATACCACCCCCTTTCTGACCACCTGCTGGGTGCTATAAACATGTATATTAGATATGTGTGTTGTTGACTAACAAGTCGGTGTGTATACTGTGTTTAAACGGGTTTTAGACTTTTGAAAAAAATCAGGGACCGTAAATAACAGTTATTTGTGATTTTTATTTTAAAAGGCCTTCTGAGATTTGTACAAGTTTTGATTAACAATTTAACTGGATTATATGCACTTTATAGACATGAACAAATAACAGTTAATTTGCTTTCCAGATTTGTTGAAATGCATATACTTTGTGGACAAGAGTAAAAAGAACGTTATTTTTGACGTTTAAAACCAAATATCACAGTAGTCTTTTTAAAATAAAAATCACAAATAACTGTTATTTACGGTCCCTGAAAAAAATACATCATTCAATTGACAAATTTTGAGATAAGTTTAAAAAAATATTTTTACAATAATAATAAAGGTGTCTAAAAGTATGCTAAGACAAGAATACGTCTTCTTTTAAGACGGCCTGCGAACTTCCAAATATTATTTTTGCATACTTTTAGACTCCTTTTAAAGTGATTTCAAAACCTTAGAGATTCTCGTGACTAAAAGGACGAATTTGGAAAAAGCACTCCTCATAATCGTCTGGTCAAAAAACCTCCTCCCAGCTTGTTCAGTGCTCGAAAAACTCCGCCTCCGTCCGGCTCATGCATATTAAATGGGAATTACGCTGGCCAGCACTCGAGTGCTAATCAATGACACGTGCTCTGCTGTCACCGGACTCATTAAGATGGCCCACCTTGCACCTGATGATGTGTTTACATATGTATTTAGCTTAGTGGGTTTGTGTGCCCTGTGGGCCAACTTTTTGGGCCATTTTGTGGCTGAGGCTTTCACTGAATTTTAATTAGACCTTGCCGCTGAAAAGCCAGCACGTGCAGAAACATTGGCAAACACGGCCACAAGCCAAATAACAAAGTCAGGAATTAAATAAACATGAGTCGGCCAAAAATCTTAACGCTGCGCCTTGGGGAAGTCGTCACAAAAGGGAGTATATATATATCTCCTTTAGAATATGGTTTTGTGTCAGAGATTACCCTGCTTTGTTCGAATGCCATCTAATCCCCACCAATCGATTACAATCTATTCAAGACCTCGCTTACACAATCGCATGCACCAAGGAAATTTGGCCACATTTGATATTACTTTCCCCAGGATTACCGTCGTAATAAGCTTTGACATTGAAAGCCATACAAATGCCTATCAATCAATGGCCTGCCACTCACAACAATAATAAGTTTTAAGAGATTTAAACGGACAGTGGCATTAGCCACAAGAACCACAGCACGAATAGAATAGCAAATTCGGCTCAAAAGTGGTCCTTAAGGAAGTCGTAGCAAATACAATTAGAATGACAATCGGCTTTTATTGACGCTCGAATGAGTTGAACTTAGCTGTAAAGTGTACAACAGATTTATTGATGTGCAAGGATTTGCATAAAATGTAACATACCCTAAAGTGGAGTATTAATAATAATTTAATGTTATAATATTTAATACATAAAAAAGCTTAATACACTTTGTTAAATATATTATTGAGTTTGTCTTTAATTAATAAGCCAAGAGTATTTTTGCAAAAGAACCATTATCTTCAAGGCCAAAGTTCGTCAACAATACCTTCAACCGAATTTTACTGAAATGTAATTAAATTTTAATGTCTTCCATTAGGTAATTTTGCATGGCCAAAATGTCGATAATTATTAAACCAATTAAAACGTCTACATAGCTCTCGTTGCCATGACAGAGACTTGAAATTAATAAGTGCTTTCTAACAATGTTTGACTGAATGATTGAATGACTTTGGCCAAACTTGTTCAATTTTGAGCGTTGAACAAAAATAATAACGTTGCTCAATAGTTAACTTGAGCTTTTCGTGAGCTTCTATTTATAAAAACTAAGCCATTTTTTATCCATAAAGGCGGGTGAAAGGTGAGAATGTCCCACCTGCGTAGGGGCAACAAAATAATCCCACCCTCAAATCAGAAGTGTCAGCTTATGTCAACCCCATTGATTGACCTTGCGGGTTAATAATAGGGTTCCCATATCAATTATGCATAGAAAAGTAATTTTTAAGGACATGCGAGTCGAGCAGGTGTGCCCAAATGACTACCTACACATTATTAATCCGGCTAATTACTTCAAAGGTTATTTCTGGAAAGTATGGAATTTGTATTTAAAAAGAAATGTTTGAGCTTTTGCTGACGACAACAAAAAGGTTTATTTTAAAACTCCTTTCAATGCCTTTTTGTGTGCGATGGCAGGACATTAAAAATGCCTTTGGGGGCACGTACCCACATCAAAATCATACCGTGACTTTCCAACCGTGCGACATGCAATTGAACAAATAAATCAGCGGGCTAATAAATTTTTAGCAACGCCGGCAGGAGATGCCCCAAAAGAACGGAGGGCCAAATCCAGGCTTCGATAAATGCTGCCATAAATGCTCCCAACTGCCAACTGCCGACTGAGCCATTAAGGAAGCCGAGTGAACGGAGCGAAGGACAAAGCCAGATTTCAGGCGACAAGGCAGGGAGTTACACTTGGCTGACTTACTGTAGCTGTTGCTCTTGCCGCTTTTCCAGCTTTTCCTGCCTTTCCTGCCTTTTCTGCTTTTCCTCTGCCATTGAATGCTGTCGCCTGCTGTACCACACGGCGTATACGTGTTGTGTCGCACCATGAGTTTCCCTTCCTCCTCTCCTCCGCCAAACATCGAACAATATGATTAAAGGCCATTTTTAGCACCTGTTCTGGCTGTTTATTTCGGATCGAGTATTAATTGCAATTTATTTTTTATGCCAACACTCGAGGTTCTCGCATGCAATTAAATTATTTATGCATGAGGGCATAAGCTATTTGAATGCTTATTTACATGTAGCCGAGCGTGTGTACTTTGAACACATTTAACAGGGAACGAATGTCACTCGCAGGAGGCATCCACTTATTTCTGCTATTCAGCCGGGAAATTGTAGCCAATAAAAGTGTGATAAATATTTGTAGAAATTCTTGTTCTTCTGTTATGTACATTTTCCATAAAATAACTATCCAACAGAATGCAATAGAGCACATTTTGCTACAATGCTGCTGAAATAAAAAGTTAATATAATTTAATTTAATTTACAGTCGGTTCATTCCCTTTACTCTTCCTATATTGTTTTAAATTCAATTGGCAGGGCAAAAATCAATAATTACTTCTGATAATACCCAAATTAATTCGGCCAATGACGAAGGTGCAAACGACTTGTATTTAAGCTGTTGGAAACCTGGCAAGTAATTAAAAGCATGCATATTTTTTCCCTTTTATTTAATTAAGGAAATTGGCAACAAATTGGATTATTATGCGAGTTGGCCTGAAAATTAAAAAATATTTTTGTAAAATCTTTAAGATAATTTATCCTCTGGTATAGGTACATGAGAAATATAAATAAATTTATTTTAAATGACCTCTGACATAGGAAGAACCGCAAAGCATATCGTAATTAAGACATTTTTAATATCCGCTTTTGATTTTTCTTTCCTCTGCTTCAGGTATTCTTTAATTATGTCCCGCATTTTTTCATTTTGTCCCTACTATGTTCATTTCACACAACGAGAAGCAGCAAAGGATTGCCTGCAAAAGGAACCCCTAACAATGGGGAAGAATACTTATATTAAGAACTGTGAGACCGCAGGGTAAAGAGAAGTAAAAAAAAATTAAAACCATAGATTATGAATCCAGAAACTAGTTGGTCTAGCAATTTATATGCGAACATTTCAAGCGTTATGTGCCCAGCGGAGTTCTAAAAAGTCCGCTTGTTGACAACATGTCAAAGTAAACAATGCCGCCAAGAGCTGAATTCACTTTTGCATTCTTTTTCCGGTTCGTCCCACCCTTTTTCAATCCTTCCCAACGAGCTAAGTGCATTTAATTGAAAGAACTACAAATTAGTTTCTGAGTTGTTTTGCAGTCGGTCTGAAAATGCCATTTGACTGTGACAGAATAATAGCTTTAAGGGGCGTATACCTGCGACAAAAGAGGGCTTCTAGGAAATATTCATATAATAAAAAGTCTGAGAACTTCCCTCTAGCCTTATCAAAATAGAATAGTCATTTTATGTATATTGTCAATATCACAAAAGGAAATGAGTTGGAAAGGAAAATAAATCATAAGTTAAAAGGCTTTTTGAAAATATAATAAGGTAAAAGTAAATATTTCTTGGAAATGCATAAAGTGTACATGTCTAAATGACAAAACACCGATATAAGTAGTTTGATATTGGCACAGATTTTTAAGCATTTTTACACAGATAATTGTCCGAAGAAATGTTAAAATTGATTGCATTAACAACTTTATATTTTAAAAAGCAAAAAAAAAGCTTTTAATTATCACATTTTACCTGTTGCCTTGGTAAAGAGAACAATTGAACACAACCATTAATAAAAACAATAGCGAACAATTGAGTTTTTTATGGAACATAAACGTCAATTAAAAATATAATAATACAAAAACAGCCTCACACTTTCGGCAGTGAATGGTGTAAAAAGAATTGTATGGATGCCGCAAAAGAGGCTTCACTGTGCCGCCATCGTTTGCATGAGTGACTTAGATTTAGGGCCAGAGGCTTTTTTTTATCCCGCGTGGGAAAGAGGATTCGCTCGTTCTTTTGTTGATTGTTGGTGCGTTCAGTTCCCACATAAATTTGCCGCAAGATGCTCATAAATTTTGCCTATTTGGCGTTATGAGTGCCTCACAAATACAATGTGCAGGATAAGAAACCATGTCAACTTAGAAGGCTGGGAATAGATATGATGACAGCATCCTGGCATCATCTTAATTTGCCTCAAAGCTAAAATAAGATTAAGCTATTAAAATACGCGACAGGGAATTTTATCCTGGTGGGTGGTGCATAAGTAGCTCTACTAAAAGTATATTACCAACTACATATTTAAAGCAAATAAAGTGCGTTGTAAATTCAAATAATTTATTTGAATGAATGGCCAAAGTTAAACCAGTGTCTTTGGAGGAACCATAAAAGCCAGAAAGCTTTGGCGATGTTTCTACACAAATGTTGACTATAAAAAAGCTCAAGGACTCAGGACTCTCTTCTAGCTTCGTATTCCATTCGGCAGTTAGTCCACCAGCAACAACAAATAAGCAACAACCAAATATATTTTTCGTAATTTAAATTAATACAATTTTATGAAATGTACAAAAAAACATAAACGACTTTTACACATCAATTGGCTTCTGAACTACACTTGGCTAAAAACTTGTATCTTGGCAAATACGCAATTGTTCAAAAAGTTTTGGCCACTTTCAGGAAAATAAAACTAAAATTGGAGAACTAAAACTTTGAACAAAAACTGCTCAACTGGTTACCAACTTTTTGTTGGTCGAATGAAAACAAAATTGTTTTGGGTAATGGGCCAAACTTTCGAGACAGTCGGTTCTTTGAAAAACACATTAGGAGCTAATTGGGAAAACAACATTGTCTACTTTTCTGGTTTTAAAATGCTTCCAAAATGTTGGGACTGCATCGAAATATTGCTGGGTATTTAAAATAATATAATTATTATTAAAGCTCTATAAAATCACCTTTCCGATTGGTAATAACGTAAATATCATTAATAAAATCAAAATAATATTAAAACTTTGGCAGTTCGTTTTTCAAGTTTTAATCCACACAGATCACTGTCATATTCCACATCAAAGAAGAGAAAAAATACAAAAATTACAAAACATTTTAAAAGCTAACCCTTATAAAAAAAACCAGGACACAAGTAATACAAAGACATGAAGAGGGTCCACGTGGACAACTACACTCCGAAGTATTATAGTGGCAAGTGGTCCTGGAGTGCGGAGAAGGACTGTCTGGAATTCGAGCCCCACAACGATCTCGAGGACGCCAGGGAGCGCTATATCACCACCAATGGCTACAAGTTTCTGCGCACCATCGACCAGGAGGAGGAGCTCATTTTCCGGCAGGCTTATGTCCGGGATCCTGGCACCTATGACTTTGACACGCTGGTAATCAACGATGTTCGCGATTTGGTTCTCTTCCTGATGCCCAGCGAATTCCTGACCTACCGCTTCGTGGAGTTCATGCACCGCCCGGCGGTCCATCGGCTCATCCACGCCCTGATCATCTACTTCGAGTACTTCCTGCGGATGGTGGAGTTCGTCCTGGTGCGACGCGACGAGCTGGCCGATCAGATCCAGAGCGATCAGACCATCGAGATGAAGAAGATCTTCTCCATCTACCTCAGCCAGTACCGCCTGCTGGTGGCCCGCAACTACAGTGTGATTCTGAAGGGCGAGGGCGACATGGCCAACTACTATCACCTGAAGGAGATTGTCAATATCTCGGACACCAGTCGAGATAGAATCTTCCACGAGCAGTTCCTCGCCGTGACGACCCAGATTGTCTGGATCTCCATGCATCGGCGGGCGTACAATGTCATTGAAATGGAGATGAACCGGCTCTTTCGATCCGATCACTTTGTGATGACCCGTCCGGAGTATCTCAGCTTCACGCCGGCGGAGCGGAGTCTGTTGTACGGGAGGAACAACAAGCTGGTGAACTATCGCACCCAAGTCTCGCCGCTGATCCAGGAGTTGGAGCACGTGGCCGAGGAGGATATGCCGATCCTCTGGATTGGCGAGCGAAAGTATAGGGGCACCGATGTGCGCATTGTCGAAATGGAGCTGGAGTACATTGTTCCGGGGCCTCAGCTGCGGATGATCGATGTGGCCCATGGCATTTTGGGTCATCCAAAGGCTCTGTACAACACCATTTTGGACCTGGACTGGCCCACCGTTCGCTACTCGAACTTCTCGCTGGGCTACGATCCGTATCACATTATGCGCCAGCCGCACCTGGACATTCCCCGGATCGACGCCTTGAAGGTGCGCAATATGAGCGAGCACTACGAGCACTTCTACAAGGTGTACCGCATCTACGAACCGCACAGCCTGCAGATCCTGAACAAGTGGCTCAAGCGGGACAAGCTCGTCCAGTTCTACCGCTCCGGGGGACTGCTGCTCACCAATGTGGTGTCCCGGTGCGAGAAGGAACTGGCCGATAAGGTCCCGGTCACCAAGGTCGATCAGGTCATCTCGAACTACTTCAAGGTCAAGTCCAGACTGCGCAAGGGATCTCCGTACGAGGCGGACAACATCAGCATCACGTCCTCGCGATTCGGCGGCTTTATGTCGCCGCGCCAGAAGAGAGCCGTCGCTCAGGAATACTATTTCGAGTGATTCGCCAGATTTCGAGGCATGGGAAGGAGGTTTGGTTTTAAAAGACTACAAAATTTAAATTTCGTGAATAAAACCATTGCAGTTCTTTAAATTGTGGTCTGATTCTCGGCTTAGATTTCTTTGAAGCAATGATAAAATTTTTAACTAATCTGGAAAATCGTTAATTAAAAAATAAACGAAAATACCTTCTAGTGACCTAAAAACTTGTGTGATAAATTATAATAATAATTATAACTGTTAAAGTGTGATTTTTAAAATAAAACTTATAACAGTTACGTTCCCTGGTGATAATTAATAATATTAATTTGTAATTAGAAATAATTAAAATAGAGTCTTTAAACTTTAAATTATCAATACTAAATAATAATTTTCCACATAAATATGGAAAAAATTAGACGCATCGACTTATTCTTCCCACTGTTTTTTAATGCCTGATCAGCTGATCCGAAGATAATGCTATCGCACCGAAATCTCTTGCTCGACAGTTCCATGCAGCAGTTGCTCGATAGACATTGTTCAGTTGAGAGCCGCATCTTTTGTCCGTTATCATGTCCGTTCCGCCATATCGGCACTTCACCCAAATCGGGGATCCTGTGCTCCGTCAAAAGGCCGAGGAAGTTTCCCCGGAGGAAATCGACAGCAGGGAGATCGACCAAATTATTGACCGCATGGTGAAGGTGTTACGTCACTATGATTGCGTGGGCGTGGCAGCGCCCCAAATCGGAATACCTCAGCGTATTATCGTCATGGAGTTCCGAGAGGGCAAGCAGGAGCAATTTAAGCCAGAAATCTACGAGGAACGAAAAATGTCCACTCTTCCTTTGACCGTAAGTGAATATTGGATCTCAAAATATTTTGATTTATACAAAAAATGTGAATAATAATATAATTTTTGAAGATTTTAGTTTGAATTCTATTGTTACTTTAAAGTGCAATCTATTTTATACTCAAAGTGCAACTGCAGTCCCGTGATTTCACACCATAAATCATATGCTTGCAGGTCTTCGTTAATCCGGAGCTGGAGATAATCAGCAGCCAAGTGAACAAACATCCCGAGGGTTGTATGAGTGTGCGGGGATATTCCGCTCAGGTGGAGCGCTACGACAAGGTTCGGATCCGGGGGATCGGTAAGCTGGGCACTCCGTCGGAAATGGAACTGGAGGGCTGGAGCGCACGGATCGCCCAGCACGAGGTGGATCATCTCAACGGTACCATCTACGTGGATCGCATGGATATCTCGACCTTTAACTGCAACACTTGGGACCAAATCAACGCAGCCGAGGGTCGTTCTGCCATTTGGTTTCATAAGTAGATTACTTATAGATTCCACTTAATTATAAAGATACAGTTTTATTACTTGATATAGAAAGTACCAATTGTTTTTGAGTTTTAATGGTTCTGTAATTTTTTTGTGGTTTATATGGCTTGTAAAATATAATTTCAAATTTGGTTATTTTATTTTTAAATACAGGACAGAAATGGGAGGCCTACTTTTATATAATCATAGGTTAATTTCAATTTATTTGAAATATCCAACTGGCAATGCGCGCCAAATTCGAAAACTATTTTTGGAATATATCGCATATTTTCACATCTCTAGCCGGTCAGCTGGCCAACCCAAAAAAGAGGTTAACCCACCAAAGATTATACAAAATGCTGCTGAAACAACGGATAAAACTATGCCAAAGGATTCTGGATCACCGCCGCTTCCTGGGAACAAGTCCTCCTGCGAGTCAGTCCTTCAGGAAGTGGTACCAACAACTGTGGACCACGCAGCGCACCAATCTGCCGCCCTACGACCACTTCACCCAGATTGGAGACCCCGTGCTGAGGCAACAGGCGGCTTTGGTGCCCAAGGAACACATCGAAAGCCCCGAGATCGAGGCCATCGTGGAGCAGATGGTCAAGGTGCTGAGGAAGTTCGACTGCGTGGGCATTGCGGCGCCCCAGATTGGAGTTTCCCTCAGGATCATAGCCATGGAGTTTAAGGGGCGAATCCGAAAGGAGCTGCCCGAGGCGGTTTACCAATCCAGACAAATGTCGGAGTTGCCTTTGACTGTAAGATGGGGATCCTAACTATCACTACATATAGTTCCAACCCTTCTAACTACCTCGTTTTGATAGGTTTTCATTAATCCCGTGCTGACGGTAACCAACTACTCCAAACTGAAACATCCCGAGGGCTGCATGAGTGTGCGAGGATACTCCGCCGAAGTGGAGCGCTTCGAAGGAGTGAAGCTTACAGGAGTAAACCAACTAGGAACCCAAAGCGAACTAGAACTGAGCGGATGGAATGCCCGGATAGCCCAGCACGAAATGGATCACCTGGAGGGAAAGCTGTACACCGACCACATGGACCGCTCCACCTTTGCGTGCACCTGCTGGGAGGCGGTCAACACGAAATCCGGACGCGTGGAGATACCTTTCTACAAGTAGTTAAGTCGCTGGGGGATCGCTTTGGCTTTGTATGTATGTATATAGAATATACTGATTGAATGGATGTAGTTATATTGTTGAAAACTATCCCTGGTCTTAGTCCATTGGTTTCGAGGGTGAACAGACCCGCAAGTTGTGATTGGCCGCTCCCAGGGCCGCCTTGGCCTTGAAGTACTCCGGACTGTCCCACATGTCGCTCTTGTCCATCATGTAGGTGAATAGCTCGTTGTATTCCCGCTTCAGCAGGCGATGCGAAGCGGCCGTCTTCAAACGCTGCACCTCACATAGCTGGGAGAGAATCGATTGGAACTCGTCCGCCTCATCCTCGTCATTCTTCAGACTGAGCTTGGCGAGATGCCCGCTCAAATGGGAGAATTCATCGTACTGTTGGCGTAGATCCTTCCCCAGATATCTGAGCACGGCGGTGCGCAGGATAAACTGCCGTATGACCGGATGGGCATTGTTGCGCCGGAACATCTTACCGGTATACTGAACAGGTGTCGAATTGGAAACAAAAAAAACCGAAGACTTTTCTAAGAAATTGACAAAAAAGATCAGGAATTCCCAGCTCTGGAAACTTTTGACTCATACGCCAAAACTCAAACTATAGACATCACATCCATCACACCGACAGCACTTGAACAATACCTGTATACATTATCACCACTCTTTTAGCCTCCAAACATAATGAAGCGCGTCCATGTGGATAACTACGCCCCAAAGTACTTCAGCGGCAAGTGGTCGTGGGATGCGGATAAAGACTGCCTCCACTTCCAGGCGCACAACGATCTCGAGAACGCTCGGGAGCGCTACATAACCACCAACGGATACAAGTTCCTACGCACCATGGACCAGGAGGAGGAGCTCATCTTTCGGCAGGAATATGTGCGACCGAAAAGCAATAACAGCGACGTTGTGGTGCTGGCAGATATCAGAAATTTGGTACTCTACTTGATGCCACCAGAATTTCTGTCCTACAAGTTTATTGAATTCATGCACGAGCGGGAGGTGCTCCACGTTATCCACTCCCTGATCATATACTTCGAGTACTACCTACGCCTTGTGGAGTTTGTGCTCATTCGTCGCGATGAACTCTCTGGTCAGATGGGCCAAGTCCAGAGCGAGCAGACCAATGATATGAAGCGAACCTTCTCCGTTTACCTCAGCCAGTACCGCATGCTCGTGGCCCGCAACTACTGCCTCATCATCGGCGGCGAGCGCAATTTGGCCAAGTACTATCACATGAAGCCGATCTCGAATATCTCAGCCACGATCCACGATAAGTACTTCCATGAGCAGTTCTTGGCTGTGGCCATCCAAATAGTCTGGATCTGCATGCATCGCAGGGCCTATTATATCATCGAAATGGAGATGAATCGCCTGTTCCGCTCGGAGCACTTTGTTTCCGCCCGTCCTGAGTACCTCAACTTCACGGAGGCGGAGCGCAGTCTTCTCTACGGCAGAAACAAGAAGAACTGGAATTACCGCGTTCAGGAATCGCCACTTGTCCAGGAGTTGAAACTCGTTCCGGCCGAGGATCTGCCCATACTGTGGATTGGGGATCGCAAGTACAGGGGCTCCGACAGACGCATTGCCGAGATGGAGCTGGAGTACATTGTGCCCGGATCACAGCTCCAACTGATTGATATTTCCCACGGCATCCTCGGACATCCTAAGAATCTGTACAACACTCTTCTCTACCTTGATTGGCCGGCCGTGCGGTTCTCAAACTTTTCCGAACAGTACGATCCCTACCATATTATCAGGCGACCTCTCCTGGAAATTCCCAAGATAGGTGAACTTCAGATGCGCAAGATGAGCGAGAACTATGAGCACTTCTACAAGCTAAGTCGAATCTATGACACGTGCACCCATTATCAAATTTGTCATTGGGTCAAACGAGATATCAACATTAAGTTCTTTCGCTCGGGAGGTCTGCTTACGAATGTAGTGTCGCGATGTGAAAAGGAGCTGGCAAGCACATCTACGGGCCCAAGGGTTGACCTGATCATATCGAACTACTTTAAGGCCATGTCCAAAATACGCAAAGATAAGAAAGATTTTGATAAGGATAGCACTTCAAACACTCCTCTTGGTAGTGCTTCCTCGCGATTTAGTGTTAAGAGGTCAAAAAAAGGCTCAATATCGGCGGCGTCACACAGATCTCTTTCAGACAAATTCGGATCCAATTTGTAGTGATATAAATACGTAAGAATTTGTTTGGAAGAGACTTCAATGACACTGCCGAATAAGGTATTTTCAAAAACAAATTTTGTATACAATTGTACCACTTCCATGCATATGTGCAAATATATAAAAACTAAATAATTTAGAAATATATCTCAATACCTTTAAATAATAATTCCTAGGAAGGAAGGCTTAAGAAAATAATATGAGCTATATATGTGGAGTGTCATGGGAATTAAACTTCAATTCTCAGGTACTCTGAAAATGGTTATAACTCCACTAAACGTCGTCGCGTACACAACAATATACTAAGTACTTTAAAAATATAAACTATAAAAATACAGGACATTTACCCATTCGATTACTATGAAGCGCGTCCATGTGGATAACTACGCCCCAAAATACTACAGCGGCAAATGGTCGTGGGATGCGGAGAAAGACTGCCTCCACTTCCAGGCACACAACGATCTCGAGAACGCTCGGGAGCGCTACATAACCACCAATGGCTACAAGTTTCTACGCACCATGGACCAGGAGGAGGAGCTCATTTTCCGACAGGAGTATGTGCGATCGAAGAGCAACAACAGCGACACTGTGGTGATGCGGGATATTAGAGATTTGGTTCTCTACCTGATGCCCCGAGAATTTTTAACCTACATGTTCGTTGAGTTCATGCACGAACCTCCGGTGCACTCCGTGCTCCACGCCCTGGTACTATACTTCGAGTACTATTTACGCCTGGTGGAGTTTGTGCTGGTTCGCCGTGATGAACTGGCGAGCCAAGTTCAGAGCGAGCAGACCATCGATATGAAACGGACCTTTTCCGTTTACCTGAGCCAGTACCGCATGTTGGTGGCCAGAAACTACTGTGAGATCATCAAGGGCAAGGGCCTGATGGCCAAGTACTATCACATGAAGGAGATTTCCAATATTTCGGCCACTATTCGCGATAAGTACTTCCATGAGCAGTTCTTGGCCGTGGCCATCCAAATCGTATGGATCTGCATGCATCGCAGGGCCTACTACATCATCGAGATGGAGATGAATCGCCTGTTCCGCTCGGAGCACTTTATTTCCGCCCGTCCTGAGTACCTCAACTTCACGGAGGCGGAGCGCAGTCTTCTCTACGGCCGAAATAGTAAGAACCTTAACTATCGCGTTCAGATCTCTCCGCTGGTCCAGGAATTGGAGTACGTTGCCCCGGAGGACTTGCCCATCCTGTGGATAGGAAGGCGCAAGTACAGAGGCACCGATGCTCGCATCGCCCAGCTTGAGATGGAATACATTGTGCCCGGATCACAGCTCCACTTGATCGATGTATCCCATGGCATCTTGGGGCACCCGAAAAAGCTCTATAACACCCTTCTGAATCTCGACTGGCCAGCTGTGCGTTATTCAAACTTTTCTGAGCAGTTCGACCCGTACCACATTATCAGACGACCTCACTTGGAAATTCCCCAGATAGGTGAACTTAAAATGCGACAGATGAACGAGACCTATGAGCACTTCTACAAGTTTAGTAGAGTTTTTGAGCCGGTCACCCATCATCAAGTTTGCAAGTGGGTCAAACGGGACATCAACATTGCGTTCTATCGGTCAGGAGGTCTGCTCACAAATGTGGTATCGCGATGTGAAAAGGAGTTGGCCAGCACATCTGAAGGACCGAGGATCGACAAGATCATTGCCCATTACTTCAAGATAATGTCAAAGATACGAAAGGCAGATGTTGATAATACGCCTCGTATCAGCGAGGTGAGCACTGACAAATGGCTGCCAAGAAATGACGGTTCTGCGGAGAAAACGACTTATAAACAGGGTAAGAAGTTGTAATCAAAGCTTACGTCCTAGGGCTTTACTTTCAGCGAAACCTCATTTGGAAAACAAAAATGTCAGGTTGTTGGAAGTGCCTTTTTTAAGCGATAAATTGCGTAATTTATACATTTTCAAACTGTGAACATATAAAATAAGTAGATTAATAAAAGCTTTTAAAACAAGATAAATATTAAAACAATATACCCCTTTACTCTACCAGTATAGGGTAAAAATATGGGTGCTATACAATTTCACGATATTTGCTCGTTTTGGAATTAGAAACTACTTAAAATCATGACAAAAACAATAAAATTTGACTTCACTTTATATTAATTTATGTAAAATATTTTATTTAAGTAAAAGTGTAGTATTTTAAAAGACACCACAAACCGTCAGAATTTATTTTAGTACACAAAACTTTAAAACTTATCTCTATATCAATTTATATACAATTAAATCGAATAATTTTGTAGTATTTTGGAATTTGGATATGCAAATGATTTTGGAATTAGCGCAGCCTAAAAGAGGCCTTCGATTTGTCCGGTTTCCGTGTTCAGATCGATGTCGTATATTGCCGGGCGGGTGGGAAGGCCCGGCATTTTGGTGACCTCACCGCACATGGCCACCACAAATCCGGCTCCAGCCGAAACGTACACATCCTCCACGTCCAGGGTAAAACCCTTCGGGGCGCCCTTGATCTTGGCATCGCCAGTGAATGAGCCCGAAACCTTGGACATGCAGATGGGGAGGTTGCCAAAGCCCTGAAATGCAAAAATATGCCATTAGTGAGGATTATTTATTATTAGAAGTTATCTTACCGCCTCCGTCAGCCGCTTGACTTTTTCCTCGGCCGCCGGCGAGAGCACCACCTTTCCAGCACCGTACATCGTCGTGGCGATCTTGTTCATCTTCTCCAGCAGTGGCAGTTCCACATCGTAGAGCAGTCGGAACTGGTTGCCCTGCTCGCAGGCCTTGATCACGGCATCGGCCAACTCGACGGCTCCAGCTCCTCCGTCGGCCCAATGGGTCGCGACCACGGCGGCGAAGGCTCCAGCCTCCAGAGCAGCCTTCTTGACCAACTCGTGCTCCGCCGGCGTGTCCGCCGAATGGGCATTTAGGCTCACCACCACGGGCATGCCGAAGGCCTTGCCGTTGGCGATGTGCTGCAGCAGATTGGGCAGTCCCTTCTGGACGAGCTCCAGGTTCTCCTCGGTGTACTGCTTGTTTAGAGGTGCTCCTGGGGTAACAGGTGCTCCGCCTCCGTGCATCTTGATGGCCCTAACGGTGGCCACCAGCACCATGGCGTTCGGTTTGCGACCGGAGGTGCGGCACTTGATGTTGCAGAATTTCTCCATGCCGATATCCGAACCGAATCCTGCCTCCGTGCAGACAAAACCATCCTTGCCCACCAGCTTGAGGCCAATTTCATCGGCGATGATGGAGTTGCAGCCGTGGGCAATGTTGGCAAAGGGACCGGCGTGCACCAGCACGGGAGTTCCCTCGAGCGACTGCATCAGATTGGGCTCGAGAGCATCCTTGAGCAGAACAGCTAAAGCTCCAGTGACACCCAGATCGTCGGCAGTAACGGGCTTGCCCTTCCTGTCGAAGGCCACCACCATATCGGCCAGCCGCTGCTTCATGTCCTCCAGGCAGCGGGATAGCGCCAGCACAGCCATGATCTCACTGGCCACCGAGATGGAGAAGCGGGTCTCCCGCGAAATTCCCTTCTCGGTGGGCGACTGGCCAACGGTAATCGATCGCAGATACCGATCGTTGATGTCCACCACGCGCTCCCACATGATGGTCTCGGGATCGATGTCCAGTCGTGCGAAGGATCCGTACTCCTCCTCGGTCAGCGTATCCGGATCGGTCTTGGTAATGCCCAGTTTCTTGAGACGGCGCAGCTGAATGGGGCTGAAAGTCCGCTGACCCTTAACCTTGGGCACCAATCGATCGTACAACGCCTTATCCTTTTGCGTGTTCTCGTGGAAGATGCGGGTGTCCAGCTGGGCGGCCAGCAAGTTATTGGCTGCCGACACCGCATGGATGTCGCCTGTCAAATGGAGATTGAACTCCTCCATGGGAATCACCTGGGCGTAGCCACCGCCAGCAGCTCCGCCCTTGATGCCGAAAGTGGGACCCTGGGATGGCTGTCTCAGGGCAGCCATGGTGTTCCGCTGCTTGTGAGCTCCCAGAGCCTGGACCAGGCCCATCAGCGTGGTGGTCTTACCCTCACCCAGGGGCGTGGGTGTCATGCCGGCCACTACCACATAGTGACCCGCCTCCTTGTCCGCCAGACGCTGCAGCACCGACAGCGAGATCTTGGCCTTCTTGTTGCCGTACAGGGAAACCTCTCGCGCCTGCAGACCGATCTCCTTGGCCAGCACAGCGATGTCCTTGGGCCTCTGGGCGCGGGCAATCACAATGTCGCTGGGCACCGGACGCAGGGGTTTCAGGGGCAGTGGCTGCAGGGACCACTCGCTCCTGATCAGACGCTCCAGGGAACGGGCCGCCGATCGCACGGTGTTCTTCATCAGCATGGCCACCGTCATGGGTCCAACGCCACCGGGCACGGGTGTCAGATGTCCGGCCACCTGGAGAGCCTCCTCGTAGTCCACGTCGCCCACCAGCCGGGTGCCGCTGGCTTTGCTGGCGTCTGAAAGGGATCAAGTGGGGAATTAGGCCGGCTCAGGCTTAAGATCGGTTCACTCCGATCGGGAGCTGTTCCCTAACTAATTCTCGAGAGCATTATTTTTGAAAACAAAATCATTTCTTATCTCCCGGGGGATAGGAAACCCACCAGGGGGTCAACTAGGTTGATAAGCGATTGAGGGAAAGTCAGTGAACAAGTGGAAATGTTTGGAATGTGTTTGGAAGATAAGGAAAAATATATATATAAAGACAAAAGACCACTCACCTGGCTTCACATTGATGCCGCAATCGATGACCACCGCACCGGGCTTTATCCACGAACCCTTGACCATCTCAGCCACGCCGATTCCAACCACCAGGATGTCGGCACTTCGGGTGATCTCCTCCAGGTTGCGGGTCTTCGAGTGGCACACCGTGACCGTGGCATTGGCCCACTTAAGCAGCTCGGCGGCGGGAGTGCCCACGATCTTGCTGCGACCCAGGACCACAGCCCGGGCTCCGGCAATCTCCACTCCCGAGCGGCGGATGAGCTCCAGGCAGCCCCACGGAGTGCAGGGCAGGAATCCGCCAAGGTCACCGATGGCCAGGCGTCCCTCGTTTACCGTGTGCAGTCCATCAACATCCTTTTCCGGGGAAACTGCGTCCGTAATGCGATGCGAGTCGATGGGAGAGTCGCAGTCCAGGGGCATTTGCACTATGATGCCATGTACCCTCGGATCCTCGTTCAGGTCGTTAATCTGCAAGATTAAGTGGATATATATTATGTATGGGTCTTCAATCAGAGCGAATCTTAAAGAGGAATTACATAACAAAAAGTAAGAATCAAAATGAAAAAGATGTCTTTAATATGTTGTAAGATTAAGTGGATATATATATTATATATGGGTCTTCAATCAGAGCGAATCTTAATCTTGTTATGTAATTCCTCTACATAACAAGAAGTAACATAACAAAAAAAGTTTAAAAATTAGCCAATTTGAATATTTTGAATAACAGCGGAGCAATTTAGTTTCGATCCGGCACTTTTTATACCCTTGCAGAGGGTATTATGATTTCAGTCAGAAGTTTGCAACGCAGTGAAGGAGACATTTCCGACCCCATAAAGTATATATATTCTTGATCAGCATCACAAGACGAGTCGATCTAGCCATGTCCGTCTGTCCGTCTGTCCGTCCGTCTGTCCGTCTGTCCGTCCGTCTGTCCGTCCGTTTTTACGCAAACTAGTCTCTCAGTTTTAAAGCTATCGGGATGAAACTTTCGTAAAAGTCGTATTTCTATTGAAGGTAGTATATATGTCGGAACCAACCGGATCGGACAACTATATCTTATAGCTCCCATAGGAGGGATCAAAAAAAAAAAACGTAAAAAAATTCTAGCTCCGGTGTTTTTTGAAATTTTACCTTCTACTCTTGGGAATATTTTTTTTTATATATTTCTGAATTTCGGTTTTTTTGTTTTTTAAATCGGATCACTATATCATATAGCTGCCATAGGAACGGTCGAAAAATTAAATGAATATTTATGGGAAAAAAATTATATCTTTGTTGGTTTTTATTACATTCCCTTCTACTCTGGGATATGACTATTTTGAAATATTTCCAAAATTCGATTTTAATTTCTAAAAGATCGAACTACTATATCATATAGCTGTGATAGAAACGATCGAAAAATTAATGTGAAATAATAAGAAATTTAACATTTTTGCGATTTGTAAATTAATAGAATGATCTGCAAGGGTATATAAGCTTCGGTTTGCCGAAGCTAGCTTCCTTTCTTGTTGGTTTCAGACATTAATCACTTTTAAAATTGCAAAAAAAATGCATTAATAAAAAAATGAATTGGTTTTTTTCAAGTTTAAAATATTTTTTATCGCTATTAGCAAAAAAGAACCAAATTCAATAAAAATGGGCCAAAGAGCCTACGCGAAAAAAGAGCCAGTTTTGGCTCAAAAGATAATATTTTAATAAAGAAATAAAATAATGATAAAATAATTTTATATTTATCTTCACATTACAATTCGATTCGTATGCCATACGATGCCATACTATGGAATATATGCAATTTTTCAGTTGTTGTAAAATATAATTTATAACCGTGTAATATTTATCTTCATATTTTGATTCATAGCTGAACAATGTATTCAATAAGTTCTCATTTATTTATGTATGGATTCCATACGATATAATTTATGCAATTATTCAGTTGGTCAAACATTGTGTTAACCATTGCATAACCCTCTTCAGTGGAGCACTCACCTTATCGAGCAGTTCCCCCTCGGTGATGGATCGAGGCAGTTGGACGTGGGCAGCATTGATGCCGATTTCGGTAGCTGCCTTGATCTTCATCCGGATATAGACATTGGAGTCCTCGCGTCCGCCCACCTGAACGATCCTCAAGCCAGGGGCAAAGTCAGCCAATTGTTTGCCCATAGCCGCCACCTCGTTGCGCAGCTCCTCGCGAATGGATCTGTCGTTTGGAGATGGGGTATGATAAACAGGAACATACAATCCCAATGATATGCCCACTCACTTGGCCACCGCCGTGCCCGATATTATTTTGGCTCCGCTCATCTTGACCGCCGGCTCTGCTCGCCACTCTTCGCTGAAAAAACGTAAGCCCGTAAAGTAATTTAGTCCGGATGCCCGAAAATTCCGCCTCACTAGCCACGCCAACTCGGCTCGCGCAATGCAACTGAGCGGCCTATTCCACGGACACCCCTATCTATAGCCTACATAGGTGCTCTATTTCTGTTTAATCCCGCTCCCTTATCAGTCGCCCTCCAGATTATCGGTTTCGGGTTTCTCGCGGGTCACATCTTGCGATTGGCAACCGTGAACAACAAACACCGGCTGACGTATGTGAGCCTAAGAGCCACAACATGACCGATCTCTGGGAGAAAAACAACCGCAGAGGTGGGTATGGTATACATATACCATGGCTGCGATCGTGGAAAACTGCTGGCAAAAGTGATTTCCATATCAAATCCGTTTGCCACTGATATGAAGCACTTGAAGTAACACTCAAAGGTTCAACGAGCTCATAAAACACATGGACTATGGAAGCTATCAGGGAATTGGTAATAAATTTGGTTATAAACATACAGCTATTATCTCAAAACAATTTTCCTTTTAATAATTAATTACTGAAATCTTTAGAACCTAAATCCCAATCGATTCCACTGTACCAAACTACTTCTCTACCTGGCAATTAACAGCAATTTCCTAATCTAACTAAACAAAAACCTAAACCATTCTGCACGAGAACCGCAAATAACTCCGGTAAATAGATAACCAGTCCTTATCAGCAGGTGCCAATTGGTTGGGCAGATAAGCAGAGCAGTCCAAACATGCCGAGCATAAAGTGAGATAGAGAGAATAGAGAATTTTTTGGACTAGACCGAGGGAATTTATTGACATGTTAGTTAGTTTGTTTTGACGGCTGCTCTCAGCTTGGCAGATCGACTGCGGGTATTCCTGGCCACCTCCTCGGCATCTGGCACGATGACATGGCGATGGAGTTGCTTCCAGTTCTTCTTGGTCAGGGATTCCAACATTTCCGGTTCGTCTATGGCATAGTGACTGGAGTACTTGAGGGGCAAGGCATTGGCGGCTCCGGCTAAAACATTTCCGTTGATGTGGCGCTTCACGATGGTGTCCTCCAGCGAGTGAAAGGTGATGGTCACCAGGCGACCATCCATACGAAGAATTTCATTGGCCAAAACCATGCCGTAGTTGATCTCGTTCAGCTCGTTGTTTACAAATATACGGATGGCTTGGAAGGTCTTGGTGGCCGAATGGGCGTGTCTTCGTAGCTTATCTTTCCTGAATCCTCCGTCCATGATGTTTTCTACTAAATCTGCCAGCTGCCTGGTGGTCTCAATTTTAAACAGGGCATTGCGTGCGTCTATCAGACCTCTGGCTATCTTCTTAGCCGCCTTCTCCTCGCCGTATGTGCGCAAAATCTTCACCAGATCGCCTTCTTCCACGTGAGCCAACACCTGGGCAGCCGTAACTCCTCCGCCTTGGCCACCATCCATTCGCATGTCCAGCGGTCCGTCCCTGGAGAGGGAGAAGCCCCTGACCGCCTCGTCGAACTGCATGGAACTGCAGCCAAAATCGAAGAGCATTCCGTCCACGGAGTTTTTGGCCAGGCCGTGTTCTTTGAAAAGTTTTGGCAAGTCAGAGAATTTTCCGCGGAGGGGAATCAGCCTGCCCTTGTACTCCTGCGATTCGCTCATCTCGTGGGCCAGTTGGTGGGCCACGGGGTCTCGATCCAAGGCGTAGACCTTAGCCTCGGGACACTTGTCCAGAAGACGACGCGTGTGGCCGCCAGCTCCGAAGGTCATGTCGAAATAGGTGCCTCCAGGAACGGGTTGCAGGTAATCGATGGCTGTGTCGCAGAGCACGGGAACATGGAAAGGGGGTGTTGCTTCATTAGAGTTGGGCCTCAATAAATCCAGTCTCAGTCTAGTGGGGATTAGGAGTCGCTTCATCATGCTGCTACTTCTTCTTGGAGCCCGCTCCCTCGTTGAGATATTGCAGGAACTCGGAGCTCAGGACTTGGCTGCACTGGGCGGCTGTTAGTCCGGTGGCCGTGGATTCGTAGGTGCGCGGATACTTCTTGGCGTAGACGTTGTTGGAGAGCCTCTCCAGAGCTTCGATCTGGCGGTCCAGCCCCTTCTCCGTGGCTCCTTCCTCGAGACTGGTGAGCTTGGTCACCTGCTTGCGAATCTGCTCGCCGAGATCCCTTTTTTTTGGGGTTAAAGGAGAGAAAGTTTAAGTGCATTTTCTGCTAGTGGAGTCGATGTGTGTGTGTGAGTTTTCTGTGACGGATGTTCGTTCCATGCGGCGCAGCTTGTCTAGAGATTCGCTTACTTTTCCGGGAAAGTGTGGAATTTGCTTGAAAAACCACTTGGGTGGTGGGGTAATTGAAAACCATAAAGAGAGCTAACTAACGATCGAGCAAATGCATCCATAAACCTGCCTTGGTACTTTTTTTTTGTATTTAACTATAACTTTCCATTTAAAAATATTCTATTCTACGCCTTTGCTAACAAATAACTAATTTTGTCATTGAATTTTTAAAAATTTGTTTCTTTTTGAACATGTAATTTTTAAAGTACGTACATATATTATTATCTTATCTAAAGTTGGAGAAAATTAAAAATAATAGACGGTCAACTATATTTTTATATGTGAAAACATTCAGAAGCACCAAAAATAATTAATTCAAGATCAGAAAGCCGGTTAAACTTAATAGTTCAATGTACCTATGTATAATAATCCATCTGTATATCATTATCAGCACGATCGCTACCAATTAAGCTATACATACATATAAAGCTATAACAATTATAATATTCAACTTTAAGAATATTAATAATACAAAATCAAAAGGATTCACAAGCTTACTCAAGGTCATGCTCCAAAAGAACTTCCTCCACTTCCAATTGATATGCGAATTTTGAAGCCATGTTCTTTTCACGAAAACAATTAAGTTACCAAGATGTCTGAACGTTCGGAAAACTGGCAAGACAATGTAAGCTCCGTTTAAGCCAACCAAATCAGGTAACTGAAATCCATGATCCACAATTGACCAGGCCAGAATTGGCGAAATAAAACCCACAATCCACAAATCTTTGGATCAGCTGGTGTGGATCCTAAATTTATTGGCGCGCCGGCCGATATAAAACTTTGCATGTATTTTCCTCCCACATTTCTATATTTCCAAACTGATCTGATAAATAATATAGCTAGCAAACATTGCCACAACTTAAGTTTGCATTTAAATACAAACATTAAGAAATCTTAACAATATTTATCTGTTAGATAATCCAAAGTGGTTGCGCCGCCAGAACGAACATTCATGATTCGAGAGTATTTTGAGGCCAATTTATTGCTCACCTGCCGATTTTCGATTTCTCCGCGGGCCACTTTTCAAGTACTTTCAGGAATCTCTGGTACTGCGCCGACATAATTGTTTAAACTTAAAAATTAAAATTAAACAATTGGCATTAGCGCAACAAAAACACGCGTTCAGTGTGGCCGCGGAATAGAGCTGCAAAATAATCGATGGAACCATCGATAGTATCGATGGCTGGCCGCCGGTGACCGACTTCGATATTTTTCAGACTATCACGATAGTTTAAAAAACCATAAATTCGGTGGAATTCTTTATAATTGTTCAGCCATTTTTAATTTGTATGAAACAACATTTTTTTTTCAGATTGCGCGCGCACTGTTTTTTACTTTTACGTCATTGAAATTTATCACAAGCGTTCAGCAGACAAAATTAATCACTGATTACTGATCCATATGTATGGATATGTATTAAAAAGATCTTACTTTAAATTAATCTAATTGCGTTTTAAATTTTTAAAAATTAAAATTTTTAATATTTTAAAGGATTCTCAATGTTTATGTATGAGCGATACTATCGCGATAGTATCGAGGTTAATTCTGCAAACTATCAAAACTATCGATGGGGCCTACCATCGATGTTTTTGCAGCTCTACCGCGGAATTAATAAATACCGTTTACATCAGAAAAATATACTTTTAATACCATTCAAACATACCAAAAATATATAAAACAGCCCTCTGCATTTCAATCTGAATTCTATTAAAAAAATGATTTTGTATGAACAGTTGATCAACAGCTAACCAAAACTAAACAATTCAACAGCTTAGGAAACCGCACAAACAATTTTAATTTTCCGGACAAAAAGAATATTCCTCATAAGGGTTAAGCCAAATAAAGTATATACTGCAAAATCTCTTGGTATATTTTAGCCGACTCGCAACGGTCATACTTATTCATTTCCGCGTAAAAAAGGTAAATAAAACAGAAATAATGGTTAAAATAAAGTAAATTCACAATAAATTAAAGATAATAGAAATCATGACGACTGCCTTTGATGCTGCACACACGGAGGGACCGGGATTCGTGGGCATTCGGTTTTGCCAGGAGTGCAACAACATGCTGTACCCGAAGGAGGACAAGGAGAACAAGATCCTCCTGTACGCCTGCCGGAACTGCGACTACAAACAGGAAGCGGACTCCAACTGCATCTACGTGAACAAGATTATGCACGAAATCGACGAACTGACGCACATTGTGCCGGATGTGATTTCCGATCCCACGCTGCCGCGCACCGAGGACCACGCCTGTCCCAAGTGCTCCCACCGGGAGGCGGTCTTCTTCCAGGCACAAACACGTCGCGCCGAGGAGGAGATGCGACTGTACTACGTGTGCACCAACCAGAACTGCACCCACCGATGGACCGAGTAGAAGCAGATGGCCCATCTGCCTCTAATTGTAGTAGCCCTAAGTAATCGAACCAATATAAAGACACACTGCAATCGCACATCAAATATTCCCACATGGTTTTGCCGCAAAAACATCTCACTTATTGCTCAACACCCTATTGCCGCTCAATAACAACAGCACAGAAAGAAAAATCGATGGTATTTATGAATAATATTTGAGAATTTCACAAATTGCGGATCCGTAACCGAATCGATTTTCTCAATTTACTCAAAATTGTGGTTCCCAACATTTTCATTTGATTTTAAAACAAATCACAATGTTAGTTATTAGCTGAAAAAATATATGAATGTTTTTGTCTTTGATGAAATTTAACCACCTTGATTTATGGTTCATTTACCTATTTATTGCACTTTTCGATTGATATTGAGCACCGCTTTTTTTCTAAGATCAATAGTAATAACAGAGAAAACCAGATACAGTAAATATTGGTTGTAAAAGTATACAACTTAATTTTAAAAAGTATAAGTGTGCAAACTTTTAAATGCGGAAATGTTCATGTATAACGAAAAAAGAAGTTTTAGTAGAATGTTTAGCAGGTTTTGGCACCTATTTAAGCATCATAAAAGTGAAAACCAGATTTCATAGTTATGACGTTAAGCAAGTCAAAGCGCTATTCAACAATTGTACAAAACTTTTTTAACCGATATCTACTGTAAATGTAACTGAGCGCGAAATGATTCTCATCGAAGCGCATGCGAAATTCCATAGTTCGCGGCCCGGTGACAATTCTTCACATTTATCATTGTTCTGCTCTAATCGAAGCTGACAAACACAAAACAAAAAAAAAGAGCCGAAAGCAGCGAAGAAATGATTGAACAAGTTTCTTGTGCGTATCAAGCGGCTGGCCATTTGAGCGGACTTGGCCCGATCCCCGGAGTCGTCGCTAAGTTTAGTCTGAGCTTAGAACTTGGCGCGACGTGTTGATCAAATCGCTGAAATGTGCTAGAGCAAACAAGCCAGCCGAATCGAATAAAAATAATAGTTAAGAGGAATTCATCATTAAGTGCTATAAAATGGCAAAGCCAAGGTCGTCGGGGGATGCTTCTGGCAATGGGAACGGAGGAGCGGATGCGGAGCCCAAGCTCAACTACTTCCAGAAATTGTGGCGCTATCGCCACTATCTGGTCATCGAGCCCTTCTTCTTTTTCTACTTCATGGCCTCCGTCTTCAATGCCGTGGCCATGCAGAATTTCCCATTGGACAAGGCCTGTCGAGTGAATCTGGGATACAACAAGATCGTATGTGACACTATGTTGGACAAATCAGAGCTGGGCATCGAATGCGATGACTTCGACTTTGAGAACACCACACAGGGCGCCACTCCGGATCTTGCTGGCCTGGTGATCGGAGCAACTGGATTCAACTATACGGTCTGCAAGGCGGAACTCGAGGCTCAGATCCTAGCGTCAGATGTCTCCGGCAAACGTGCCCCGATGGGTAAAAATACTCACATATATCATATACATAACACGAGTCGTTCATTAAATATACGCGTTTCGGTTTGGGTCTGGGTTTGGCATTAGCATTGCTTAAATTTCAGGTTTGTGCTTAAATTAAACTCGAATTCTTTTCGCATCTCTACTCCTCTGTATATTAAATCTTGCCTACCCCTTCGGATTTATATCCATAGGTGAGGTGCACTAAAAAAAAATGATATGCTGAATTTTTATTTGAATAGAGTGTTGCTAAAACTGATAGAGCTAAAGAAGAAATTCAAGAAAATATATTTCAAGTGGTCAGGATTTATTTTGAAATTAAATTAATGCTTCTCTTATAAATATGTTATTTTTATAAAAATTCCCTTTCTTACAGTGTACATTTTTTTTTGGAAAGAATCCATGTCTTTTGATGGATGTCGTCGGAAATTAGCGGTTATCCGAACATCTAATTACCTTCTTTAATTGATTCGCTCATGAGTTCTCTTTCGTTTGCTGATGGTGCTAACAAAAATTCCCCCATCATATCGTTGGGTGATTAATTTAGAGCCGCTTCTAAAGGCCTTAGCCTAGTGTCTGTAATCGTAATCGCTTTAAACCTGTTCTTTACATCTATGTGTTTTCGAGTGACTTTCGTGGGTTCACTGCCATTGTCATTGGCATTTCATTCGAGCCACAGATAATATTTTATATTCCCTATTTAGCAAAAACGCTATCCGAAAATGTCATTTGCATAGACGCTACGCGGAATTCCGGTTCTCAGCGGCAGAGAAGTCTTCTTGTTTAATAACTTAAACCAAACACCAGGTTCATTAGAATGCATTGCATCAGAGATCGATAATTGAGGCTTTAAATAATTAAAAATGTCGTGTCATAGATTCCATGGTGAAATTTTATAGTATTCGCATTAAAGGCTTTTATTGTTTAAATGCATGCTTTGGTTGAATTTAATCTTATTGTGATAACGAGTTTCAAAATAAAACAATTCATTAACGTCAGAAATGTAAATCATCTTTAAGAATTCTTAATACTCGAAAAGCTTGTATATATGGTTTTTAAACAAAAGGTTTTAGAAATAGCTCTTTCATAAATGTGTACAATAAACAAATAAAACAAGAAAGGAAGCTACCTTCGGCCAGCCGAAGCTTATATACCCTTGTAGATAAAGTAGTATTTACTCGGTCCAGTTCCGTTTGTAATTAAATTTTGTTTTTAAGTTGTCAAGAATCAAAACGCCTACTTCCTACAGTTACAATGAATTTTCTTATATTTGTTTGAATATTCCTATGGGAGCCTTAAGATATAGTGGTCCGATCCGATCCGATCATCGCGATAGCTTTTAAACTGAGAGACTAGTTCGCATAGAAACGGACAGACGGACAGACGGACAGACGGACATGGCTAGATAGACTCGGCTATTGGTGCTGATCAAGAATATATATACTTTATGTGGTCGGAAACGTCTCCTTCACTGCGTTGCAAACATCTGACTGAAATTATAATACCCTCTACAAGGGTATAAAAATCGCATTAAAAAATTAAGGAAGATTAACTTTATGTTCATGAGAATTTAATAAATTTAAAAATCAAATGGCATATTATTCAATTAGTAATAGTTAGCATCAATACGACTATTTGTATTTATATTTTAGCCTTGTAACCAATAGATATATTTATCCTAATTCTGGAAATATAACAAACATTAGAAGATTACTAGCCAGAATTATATTGATTAAACAATACCTCAGCTTGCTATGTAAAATAGCAGATTATTTTCAAGAACGAGTTATTTTTGTCGTTAAATCCAGTTTTTTATTTTAAACTTGAAACACGACGTGCCAAAATAATTTTTTCTCACGTTGGATACATTCATACCTACATATGTAAATTATACTAAATGAAATAGGTATTAACTCAACAATTTCTCTGTAGCTGCTATTTTCCCACTGATTGTGCTTCTTTTCGCCGGAGGATGGGCAGATCGATACAACAAACGCAAGCCCTGTATGATAATGCCAATTATCGGAGAGGCTTTGTCCTTCACGTGTGAGTAATTAAATTACATGATTATAAATGATAATAATCAATAAATAACTAAATATTTTAGGTCAGATCATCTCTTCAATTTTCTTTGATTCGCTGCCCATGGAGTTTGGTGCCTATTGTGAGGCCATTGTTCCGGCTCTTTTTGGAGGATTGACCTTCTGTCTGATGGCAATTTATAGTTATATCACCATTGCAACGCCTGAAGAGGATCGTGTGTTTCGCTTTGGCATCTTTGCCATGTTTGTAACAGGAGTTCCTTTCATAGGACAACCGATTAGTGGCCTACTCTTCACTACTTTGGGATACACTTGTGAGTTTAATTGTTTTTAAAATATTAACTATTAAGCATATGTTTTGACTTTGTATTAATATATTTTGTACCTTTCTTCTAGGGTCCTTTGCCTCTGCCATTGTATTCCAGTTGATTGCGATATTTTACATTATATTCTTCATTAAAGAGGTGAAGAGTACGCCCAGTACTACCGAGAATGGCGTCCAGCCGAACGATGCACCTCCACTGCCCACCACCTTGCCGCCCAAGCAGCAGGGAGCCGATAATATGGCCTACGAGACGACCAATGTGGATGAAGTGCAGGGAAACAAGAACGTTAACTTCCAACTGACTCCCCATATGGAGCCCAAAGTGGAGGTGGTGCCACCGAAACGCTCGCTCCTCAAGGAACTCTTCGATCCCACTTTGGTGCTGGACTGCATCCGGTTTCCGCTGATCAAGCGACCCAACAACGGCCGCATGCTGCTGATCCTCCTGCTGTGCGCCTACTTCCTGACCGTGGGTCCCACATCCGGCGAGAACGACTATTGGTATCGATTCACCCTGAAGAAGCTCGCCTGGAACGGCAATGACTTCAGTATCTATCTGACCTTGTCCAGTGGAGCCGCCCTGGTGGGCACCTTTATTGGAACCGCCATTCTGAGCAAGCTACTCAAGGTTTCAGACTCAATGATTGGCATGCTGTCCGCTTTGTCCATTGTCTGCTCCCGCGTTCTTTTTGTGAGTAATTAAATATAATGTTAGTTATGCATTTTTAAGTAATATGGTTTTTATTTGTTCAGGCCTTCTCCAGCAGCACTACCTCATTTTACGTGGCAGGAGTGGTGGACATGTTTGTCAGTTTGCGAGTGATTGCTATTAAGACCATCGGATCTAGCATTGTAGCTGGTGATGAGCTGAGTAAGTTGATTATATAAAAGAAATGTTAAATATTTTACAACTTTTTTGTATCTTATTTTTTGTAAGAATATAGAGAAACTTTTAATGGAGTTTTAAACTTTAATATAAATATTTGGTTCCCCTTTTTTATTTAGATGCTTTGTTCTACATTTTTGTATGTTTTTTAATAATCATTCACATGTTAATTTCAGGTAAAATGTACTCCATCTTTGGCATCAGTGAGCCAATTGCGCAGTTCATCTTCCCGCCCATTTTCAGTGAGATTTACAAAAGCACAGTTGATTCATTCCCAGGAGCCATTTGGCTGTTTGGTGAAATCTTTTATATTCCCAATGTCTTGGTCTTTGTGTAAGTACACTTTATAAAATTTAACAAAATAGATTTTAAAAATAATAATAAAAAACTAATTTGATGTAGGGTGTGCTATTTCCTACTGCGGCGTAGAAAGGCCAATGAGGAAAAGAGTGTCGTTGAGCTGGAGCAGAATGGAGCTAATGGAGCCAATCGTGCAAACGTTCCCGATAGCGAAATAACTAGTCTATAACGTAATTAATGCCAGTCCATGTTATATATTTTTTATATTTATAATATAAATTGTATATTTTTGTATATTTATAAATGATTTTTCTATATCCAATATCCAAGCATTATTTAGCATCGAATCTGGTAAGTTTATAGACACAAAAAAAAAAAAAAAGATGATAACAAATTATTTGGAAAGTAGTTGTCCAAGACTTAAAAAAAAACAAGAGGGAACGTTATAGTCGGATGCCCCGACTATCAGATACCCGTTACTCAGGTAAAGGGAGTGCGAGGGAGATGGAGATAGAGATAGAAAACGTTGATCACGCATAACTTTTTAACGAATGGTCCGATTTGAAAAATTTCTTCTACATTTCGATAGGTATTGATAAACACAATAAAACTGCATTTTTACTTTTCCAAAATATTAAAATTTTTAAAATCGTATATAAGCGATGGTGGGCGTTAGAGGGGGCGTGGCACCATTTTGAAACAAACTTGCGCTGCGTAGGAATTCCTAAAATCTGCATGCAAAATGCCAATCTTCTAGCTTTTATAGTTTCTGAGATCTCAGCGTTCATACAGACAGACAGACGGACAGACGGACAGACGGACAGACAGACGGACATGGCTAGATCGACTCGGCTAGTGATCCTGATCAAGAATATATATACTTTATGGGGTCGGAAACGCTTCCTTCTCCCTGTTACATACTTTTGCACGAATACAATATACCCTTTTACTCTACACGTAACGGGTATAATAAGTATTTTGATTGATTAAATACCGAAACTAAGTGTATAACTTAACCTCAATACTTTTGGAATAGGCAATGTATTTTTATATTTGTATTCTTTATTGTCCATGCTATTTTTGGCAAATCCCTGCAAATCAATTACCTGAGGCCTTATTCGGACTCTTCACTCCCCCTGGCAATGCGCGCAAATTACTTTTTTCGGGACGAGTAATTTTAGTTTAAGCCTTTGCCGTTTGCCTCCCGTTTCGTGGGTTTCCTTGGGAAAAGTGGTAGTTTTTCAATCAGCAAATGCATTCAGTTTGAGCAGCCAGCTGGCGAAAAGGGGGCTGTGGGCGTGGCCGTATGTGGGCGCTAACTGCCGCCTTGAAACAATTGGGTGCTAATAATCCCCGGTTAATCTAAATAAGTGTGTGTTGCTGGAGGCATTGAAGCAAGGATTCTGAAGGAAAGACACATCAGGCATCCTTTGGCATCCATCGTTTACGGCCCATATAAAAGCCCGACGAGGAGCATCAAAACTTCAGACGCAGCTGAGTTTCCAACGCGAAAGGAACCAATCGAGATTTCCGAGTGTCCTGTTACAAGGACCAATTTCAGCAGAAACATGTTGCGCCTCCTGCTGTTGCCGCTCTTCCTCTTCACGTTGTCCATGGCCTGCATGGGTCAGACTTTTCAGTACTCCCGGGGCTGGACAAATGGCAAGAGATCCTTCAGCTCTGCAACTCCACTGCTGACCAACGGACATTTCCACCGAGATCGAACAAACGAGCTGGGATTTACGGATCTGTACGATCTTCAAGATTGGAGCAGTGATCGCAGACTGGAGCGGTAAGTCAACAAGCTGTGCTCTGAAAAATTAATGGAACAAATGAATGGAATAAATGTACACACAAAAAAAAAACTTGGTAAAATCAACTGTAATAATTGTCAAACAGGCCCCAACCAGCAAAATTGTCAATTCTACTAAGTAAATAGTCATTTCCCAACAACAAAATACACACAATTAGCAAAGACACAAACCCAAAGAAAAAACAAAATACACGTAACTATTTAAATAGTTACGTAACTATCTTTGTTGGTCAATTTTACCAAGCAAATTTTTTTGTGTGTACAAAATTGGACAATCTAATTTGTTAATTTGTAATACAGCGTCTTTATTTGAATTTTATTTCCCTAATATCTTAAGAATTGATAACAATAATGCATTATATTCTTCTTACAGTTGTCTGTCGCAACTCCAACGATCATTGATTGGTCGAAACTGTGCCCCTGGATCGGACTTCAATGCCAACCGAGCAGATACAGATTCTGAGAGCAATCCCCATCCCAGACTTACCAACATTAATAACGAAAATGTTTTGTATTCAAATGCCAATATCCCGAACAGACATCGCCAGTCGAACGAACTCCTCGAGGAGCTGACTGCCGCTGGTGGAGCTTCTCCTGATCCCAATGTGTTTGGAAAACATTAGCCCCTACCTTTACAGACCATTGAAATTGAAATATATTGTTAAACTAGCAAAAAATGCTACAAAAATGTAAAAAAAAATTGATTAAACAGTTTAATAAAATTGAGTCTTTTTAATGAATATCATATGTCAGTTATCTCGAGTGCTAATTGAATTAAGAATTGGCTTTATGTCGGAAAAAAGTAACGACATGAAACATAATTAGATAGTTAACCATTGTTTTACACTTTTTAATCAGATGACTAAATCAGAAAAGGAAAGACTTGTTTTTGTGTGAATAAATATTTTGAATAAATATTTGTATACTTTGCTATTTTTCCGTAAAAGAATATTGTTAAGCATTTTCACATTGTTTAAAGTAAAAACAGATTGAATAAAAAAAAGCGTGCCTTTTGCCTTTTTGACCTGCCTTTTTGACCTTTGTCAATATACCAATGAACAATTGAGCAGTTATTATTTTGAAAATAATATTTCATTTTCTGCCCTATGCTATGTCATGTCTAACAAAATCCAGTGCATCCAGTGAATCCATGTACTATATATACTAAAATGTTAAATTAAATTCGTTAGAATTATTAGTATTTTTGGAATCAACTAAGCAGGTCACGTTTATTATTTTAATTTAATTTAATTTAAAGACATTTCGTATGCATTTTAAATATTTGAAAACATACAAATACACCTATATAAAATATATACAAAGGTTTTTGTATCAGATTGAAAATTGTTTTTATGCGTGTGGAGTTATCTGCTGTTTCCAGAATTTATTTATTTTACCCACCTTTCCGCCAAACTTTGAATTACCTGTGATTTACTATCGCCATCCCGGACCTATCGATAATCGTTTCCTGTGACTTGTCACGAATAGTTAAGAATATTCAATAATCGGCAGTTATCGAAAGATATTATTGGCGCACAAATTTTAAAAGTAAGGTTTCAGAAACCCACTTATGGAAAGGTGGCATGCCAAAATATATGGTTTCTTTTGCTATTATGTTAATACAAGAGATGTTAGTAGGTACCTATCAAAAGTTAAAACAAACGGCCCCTATTTGTTATTTTAAATTAGTCATATTTTGATTGTACTTAAGATAGCTTTCTGTATTGTGACCATAATTCAGTTTAAAGTTTAAACTTCATATTAAAAATAAGAACCCAAAGCCCTTTGTTCCCAATTCGGCTAATCTAAGCAAAGTTCACAATTCGGTCGTTAATCACATTGAGACACAACAAGTGGGCGAAAATATGTGTTTTTTTTTTAATGGCTGTAAATTTGCGTATGCGATTTTTGGGCCCGAAAAGAAAAAAAAGGTACACCCACAAAACTATTATCTACATATTTATTTACCTAAACTTTCCACAAAAAAGGGAGAAATGTGCCCCCAGGGGATTGAAAGGTTGGAAATGGAAAATGTTTAATTTTTTTTAAATTGTAACAAAAACGATGTTTAATTGGTCGAGCAAATCATGCTAATTCTATTAACCGACTTGAGTTTGTCCTTATTTGTCAAGAAATCCCACAAAATGCCTATTCGTAGTCTAAGAAATTGAGTACCGTTTGTCTGCAGTAAATTAAACATCGCGTATCGTCAAAAGAGCCTTACAGATGAAACAAGTTAAGCGAAACTTTTCTGGGATTAGCTGAGATATATATTCAGCAAACTTTTTGACTAACTTCTACTGCTGTTTGATTTTTCTTCTCTTTGCTTAAATGGTCAGTAACTTGATTTAATTGAAGGGCTTCAAAGAGTAATCCGCTCATTTTGACTGCAATGAAACTCGTGTTTCAAAGAGATCCAGCTGGAAGCCAAATATTGTGGTTAAAAAAGCCGGAGAACACTGTTAATTAAATGTTGTAGTGGCGGCGCGATTTCCTCCTTTAATATTCAATAAAGCGTCTGTCGCCGCCATCAAGACGTTCCTAATTATTAATGACTTAAACTTGACCGACACCAAGTTCCTTGACACTCACACAATCGTTTAAGCATGTATAATTGGATGAAACCATCGGTTGTCCGTAACAAGGATAATTGGATGAAATGAGGATGAAAGGCGGGTTGCCTTTTCTGCTCCTCATTAAGTGCCCGTTTACCGTTAAGTCGCCTGTCAAATCGTCGGTGCACAGAAAAAAAAATTGATATGAAATTGCACTCAAGTTAACATTATTTCATATCAAATTTGGGCCGATATTAATTAATGCAAGATTGATATTTCGAACATATCAAGTTGATATTTTCGAGAATATCAAGTTGATATTTTTAAATACCAATTCAATCTTAAGAAAGATTAGTGTTTAAAATAACATTTGAACTTTTTGGTCATCAAAATGATATTTTTTATATCAATTTTTGTCATCAAAATGATATTTTTTATATCAATTTTGTTCAACAAAATGATATTATTTCGTGTATATTAGTACCCCCCAGTAAAACAGAAATTTTTATTTTATATTAAAACAATTTAATTCTAATCATTTCACATTTTTTTGATTCGGTGTACATATGTATAGGTGGGCCAGCAAAATCTTCAATATTTTATTATTTTAGTTTTGCCTGTGACACACACAACGTAAAACTGCGGCCGGCACACACACACACGCACATTCAGAACCGAAATGTCTTTAAATTGTGTGCTAACTCGGCGGCAAAGTTAAAATCACCACAACTTTGTAATGTTTCGACTTAGCACTCAATAAAAAAATAAATTGATTTCATTTGACAATAAAAACACCTTGTTCTCGAATATTTTTGGTCTCAAAGTTGGGCCAGCTGTTTTTGCAGTGCTGCACAATCTCAGTGTTGTAAACTGTGGAACACTATTTCTCCCTTTCGAACTAAATTCGAAACGACATTTGATATTTTTTCATATCAAAGTCATACGATTTCATATAAATTGTAAATATACTTGTTTTAAATACCGAATTCAGTATTTTTTTTCAAAAATTAATATGAAATAAGATCAAAATAATATTTCTTCATGTTAGAATGATATGACGAAACTTGATCCTTAAAAAAGATCAAATTAACCAACAAATATCAATTTGATATTTTGTCATATTTTTTTCTGTGTGGGCTATTAGAAAAAGGGGTGTCAAGAGACGAGTTGTTGAGTCATTGACTTATTACGCAAATCGGACAAAAGAATTTCTGGGCCGCGAGTGGGTGGGATTGAACTCTGTGCTTAATTTAATAAACATATTAATGAGTCCGAAGAAAACCAAGTACTAGATAGACTTAATCGTAAACCTTTAACAGTAAACGGGGCACGTTCAATAAGGGTAATGGACTTTCTCTTTGAAATATTGCCCATTTAGTGAACAGACCTTTAACTACTTCGATATACAAATAATTTATAAGGAATATATAGCTGAGGAACTTCAAATATACGAATAGTTGACGAGGGAAAAATGTATTATATTGCTCCTTAAAAAACGCTCCACACTCGATTACATTACCTCGCGCATAAAAGTGAGTGGCGGGAGTAGCATTTTGACGGAATTCAATCAGCCATAAAGCATCCTGCTGGGCAGGAAATGGAGGCGTTTGCCTACGTGCTTAATTACAAGCCGACACATGAACATTTCGCATACATAAAAAAGTCGAAGACACGTGTTGAAAGCAATTAAAAAGTATGTCAAAGTGGGTGATCAACGTCCCCAAGGACGAGGGACAATTGAGATATAGTAGCTGGCAACACTGTTGCTTTTAAGTGCTTCTTCGGAAAACTAAACTAGTTAGTGGTAGTACGAGTGCCAGGCGGTGTCGAAATAAGATAAGTTTATAATTTAGATTGCATAACTTATATGCTAAACAGAAAATGACAATGTTGACAACAAAGTATAAGCTATCTTAATTAAATCTCGGAGCTATTTTTGTTAGGACTATTTACTGTTTAATTTGAAAAGTAGTTTCGATAGAGTTTGTATTTATTTTAGAGTAGATAATAAAATCAAAACAAAGTGTTCAGGCTGACTACTAACTAACTATATGATCACTAAAATAGCTTAATAAGACTGAGGAAAACTGAGATTGTAATAATAAATCAATTTAGCCATATTCCTTGGTCAGCATATAGCAATAAAAATTGATTTGTTCCAAAATAAGAAAGAAAACCCCTTCCAAGCAGTGGACCTCTTGGGTCGAACACATCTCCTGGCCAGGAACCCCATGGCTAACGTTTGACGGATTTATGGCGAGCAATTTTACGCCCGATTGCCGGCCAAGCGGAATGTCGGGCCACGTTAGCACCTCTTGACATGACATTGAGTGCTCCGTACTCGGATCCTCGTCAACCCGTTTGGCGTCTGGTTTTAAATCGAACAATTAATGTGCAAATAAAACTCATTAAATATTAATTGAGTTCGATAATTACAGCGGTGACGGGGCTTCGCAACATGTTGCTGAAACACCTGAATCGCGGGGGATTCCCCTCTAAAATCCCATTCCCCCATCAATCCGTCAATTTCCTAATGCGTTAGTACACCTTGGTGATTTATTAAGGGGGGTTGGCTTAGGCCGCGCGGTCTGACCCGCCTCATCTGATTCGATTTCCATCATCCTGGCAACATGCCGTACCCGCACGTTTTCATTCATAACTCGTCGCGTGGCTGGGGCACTTTCCTTCGTGTCCTTCGCGTCCTTCGTGTCCTGTCGTTATGTCGGCTCCTCGGTTCCGGCACTTCGTGTGGGCGCTTCGGGGCGCCCAATATAAAAACACGCCGTAATCGCTATGCTCCGTGAGTCCTCCGCTCGTCGTCAGCCTGTTGCGTTCGAGATTCGATGCTGGGAAAAACAGCAGGAGCGCCATCAGAAAAATCAAAATCACAAAAGCCAGCAACAGTTTCACATTCCGATTTCGATTCCGAATCAGTTAACTTTCCGCGGCGCGACGTGTGAATACATAAAATAAATTACAAGAAAAGATAAATAAGCCACAAAAACCGAGGCTCAGATTCCGCACAAACAGAAAGTAACAAACACCCACACGCGAAATATCTCGATCGTCATAAATCAATCCGTCGAGTGTGCTTTCAGATCCACCGAAATTAGAGGCAATTACCACTGATAAGGTGATTTCTTTTATGTGACAATAATTTCGAAAAAAAGAACGAAAAGTCGTTTAAGCGGTTTTTATGTTTTTGAGTTGGTGTTTCAAATTGGCTTCGCCATATCAGATTTCAGCGAAAACCTCAGCGGAACGGAAAAGTTTGGCAAGTCGTATCCTCAAATGGGGCAAGGTTGATTGATTGCTTAAAAAACGTTTAAGCTAATTAGTTTTGCTTTTTATGTGTAGGGCATTGTTGCCGCTGGTTTCAGGTAACAAAGTCCCGTAACTTAATAGACTGCAAACAAGCTTAGCGAAAGTTGTTTTCTTCTTTTTCTTCCCCGGCAGCGTCGGCAATCACACCTTGTAATTTGCAAGGGACGATGTGGTTTCTGGGGACCTACATTCCCGTTTGATTGACCTTTTGTTGAGATTTTTTATGGCCTAATCAAATCGGATTTACGGTTTTTAAAGCTGCAGAAACCGAGAAAAACCAGACAACTTCGCTGCTCTATGTGCTTTACACATGCTCGTATTTGCATACGTATGTAAATATCTGAAGTTGGAATAGATAACAGGATTTCATTTCCTTGTGTTTCGGTCGGCCTTTTGAATTGCCGATAAAACAAGAAGGGACGTGCTGGCAACTAGCCCTGGGCAATCACGATTTCCGTCACCGGGACCGAGGAGAACTGAGAACTGAGGATATGACAATGGCTGTCAGAGGCACAGTCCCAACAATCCTCAGTGGGGCAGGGCAGTTTTATTGCCTTGAATTCTATATTACTTCCAGAAAATCAATATTTGCTCAGCTTCAAATGTAAGAATTCCATTCATTATGTCGTCGTCTCCGAAACCTTTGAACCGGGGGAATTCACTCAATCGCTCAACTCGAGATTCCGACCCCTAATTCAATTGAATTGCAATTTCCGTTGCAACTTTCGCATTCACATTTTCGCACAGCGTTTACGCGATCTATTAGGGGAAATCAATAGCCATCAATTGTCGTTTGCGAAAGTGGTGGGCAACAGCAACACCCACGAATATTCGTAAATCCCTGTTCAGCAAATGGCATCTATATGACATGTGATTGCCGGCAGGACTAATGCGGCTGCCATTTCGGCAGTTACTTACATCTGATGTCTAATGCTTCTGCTGACAGGTGGGATATGAGTTTGTCCCCCGACCGAAAACAAAAGAGCTGCCACAATTTCGAGCGGCAGAACTTGGAATTCCTGCTAAAATGATGGAAGTTCCTGCCTTCGCTTTGGAAACAATGTTGGAATTTCAGTTTCAAAGAGATTGTAACTTCAAAATGGCTTTATTACAGAAACCAATTTAAGCGGAAGGCGAACTTTGCAGCTCTCTTGCGATTTTAGAATTATTAAATGTTTAACGCTAAGAAGTTTAAATCCAATTTTGAGCAGTAGGGAAACTGTTACAACTTTTAGTTATGCACACAACACTGCACCGAGTTTCGCTGCTAGAGCAATTGTTACTTAATTTTGTTAGTAACACAAAGTTACTTTGGTCAGAGAAGTTTGGGCTCGACTACAATGGATGCATTACAATGTGTCGGTGTGGTAAAAACAAAAGTGAAACTTTAACCTATTTTGTACAATTAAAATAGCCCAGCACATGAAAGGCTTACAATGCAAAACACGAAGCAAGAAATATGTGCTTGCTATGTGGGATAAAATAATGAGAGAACAAATAATATAAAAGAACGCAGAGAATTTTTCATAATATTGCTTTAAGTGAATATACACCTTTTTGTTTACCCTCGCTGAGTTTCTTACAATATTGTTTCTTTAAGTTTGTTCTAAAGATCAAATTTGCGACCTTATAAACTGAATACTTTTGATCAAACTCACCTTGTGAGTCTATATAGAAAATATAAACTTCGGCTAACGGACGTTAACTTCCTTTTCCATTTTTGAAATAGGGTTTGCTGTTGATGATTTAAACTTGGCAACAGGAAAATAATCAAGTTGTCCTGCAGCTTACTCGTCGACGTCTTCAATTTAAAACCTAATTTCCTTTCTGAACCTTGTGCAAATTCGCACTCAACTCCCATTGCGAGCTGATTGAAGAGGCCAAGGGGACGTGAGATTGATATGCATATTCGTATGTAGATGAAAAACTAGGTTCAGAAGTACCACATATTTACGTGACCCATAAATTATGAGAACACTTCCTGTTGTCAGAATATTGCGCATTTTTCACAGGTTAGCTGTCAGCACTTTATTTTCTCTCTATTCCACAGAGAATTCCAACGGCAGAGGTCAAAGTTTGCACAAGGCAGTGGCTCTGAAATTTTCAAAAATAATAGCCACAGATGAGCTTAATTTTCCACCAACATGAACAGAGTGGTACAATTGTGGGGCATTTAGAATACCCAGCACGTTATTTAAATTTATATAAGCAAAAGATAAATAATAGTTCAAAGTTGATGGCTGTCCCGTAAACGGTGGAGGCTAAAAAAATCCTATAATAATATTTACATTCTTGATTAATTTTGATAAATACCATATGCTTTTTTTCCACCAGACAATTTGCATTACATGCAAATCCGTAAATTGTGCACTCACCCATGCAACTCTATCGTTTTTCTCTTTTTTTCCACTTTTTTGCAGAATGATGAAAGCCACAGCGTGGTTTTGTCCGGTGTTATTAACTTTACTGTGTGCCACAAGGCTCGTCTGCACGGCCCAAAGGGGAGGAGGAGGAGGAGCGGGATCAGGACTGGGATCGGGAGCAGAGGTCGGCGGAAGCGGCCGCACAAACGGATATCCTCTGGACTACCCCGATGCACGGAACACACAGGTGGGCATTTCGGAGTGCATTTCTTTCTGGCTGTCGCTCTTTGTGAGTGGCAGCAGTTTTTGCGTCACTCGTTCGAATGTTTTCCGAATGCATATTCAATTATTGGCTCTGCATTTTTCGAGCGGGCTATTTCATAGCTTCTTTGACACACGTCAGTGGTTTCTGTTCATAAATTGACACATTGTTCGTTACAATAATATGCAACCTTTTGAAGACCGCTATGTGTCCTTCTTTGTACTTAAAAACAGCAGGTTACCACCATACCATATAGCTTTTATGGAAATAATTGAGCCCGATAACGATAGTTTCTTAAATATGCCAACTACAAGATAAGGAAATAATCAAGCAACTACTTTAAATTCTAGACATTTTGTGTCCTCATAGACAGAAATAGCATATTACTAATCCTTATCTTGATAATAGTTTCGCATTTCCTTAAACATTTTATTGTGGTTGCAAATCTCAATTCCTATAAAATTCTTGAGAAATCACATAGCACTTAATACGTCAACTCCTCGAAATCGCTAATATATCATTTGCGTTTGAATCTGAATTCTGGTATAATCTAATCTGGGCACTTCATCGGTGTGAAATACCTCAATGTGAAACTGGTTCTGGGCGAACGAAAAATCATATACAATATATTTTCCTTAACACACACGAACATGGCAACAAAATTGATTAGAGTCTATGGTATATTTCAAAACAAATGGAAATTTTCGTCAAGGCTTTTGTCCAAGCATCATTAGAAGAAAACAAAATACAAAAAAGAAAACATTTTGTTTGTCTTTGACAACTCCTGTTGTCCACAATCAAAAGTTTCACCTTTGCTTTTTAAGAAGTTCGAATTTCGTGAAGTCGATTCTTTATTCAGCGCAATTTAAATGGGAGGCAAGTTCGTTTGTGAAACTGGAGATTTAAACACGTTAATGCGACCCACGTAAACAATTTAATTTTATTTGCCGAGAGAAATTATGTTTTATGATGAGGCAGCGTTTTAAAAAATCAACCCCGGGGCCACGCTAAAAGCCAATTACGAAATTTTCCATTTGTACCACCTTATATGACACATCGTTAACCGCAAAACATATATGTACATGGTACAAAAGTACATATGTTCCGATAAGGGTCGATTTGGCAACTAATCAGTCAAGTAGCGATTCATTGATTGATGTATGCACGTCAATCAATCAGTTTATCAACGGCCCACAACAGCTAAGCAGCCAGAGAAACAGGCAACTAACAATATTGTCATGGTCCCGAAAGCGAAAGTTCAATTATGTGATAAGCATTTAATGCGGGTAGGACCTTAAACTTTTGAGTACGGCCGTAAAAATAAACGTGTCTAGGGCTCGTAGTTGTTTTTGGGTGGTTTAATTGTTCAGATTGTGAAAACTATAAAGCTAAATGACGAATGCGTGACTACATAACACGATGTTGCTTCATGAGGTTTCAATCTTAATCCTATAAATGGTTTCACGTGGTTGTGTGGCCAACACGGTTAATAATTTAGTTATAACAGTTTAATATTTGCACCTTATTTCGTTTTAAGATCCTTTGTTTAATAACGCCAAATTTTAAACGATTTTTGAGAAAATGCACCAGCAACGTTTGGCATTAGCAAACTAACTTCCTACTCCACTGAAGAATCAGTCGTGGAGTCTTCGGGCTCTTCGGTCGCCAGGGAGGTAGAGTCTTCGGGAGCTTCAGGAGCCAGGGTAGTCACTTCGGAAGAACCGCTACCGTCTTCGGAGTCAGTGGTGCTTTCTTCGGGTTCCTGAGTGGTGGAATCCTCGGGATCTTCGGGAGCCAGAGTGGTTTCCTCAGAAGAACCGCTTCCGTCTTCGGAATCGGTGGTGGTTTCCTCTGGTTCCTGGGTGGTGGATTCTTCTGGATCTTCGGGGGCCTGAGTGGTGGAATCCTCGGGATCGTCAGGGGCCTGAGTGGTTTCTTCAGAACCGCTGCCGTCTTCGGAGTCAGTGGTGATTTCTTCTGGAGCCTGGGTGGTGGATTCCTCCGGTACTTCAGGGGCCAGGGTGGTTTCTTCCGTAGAACCGCTTCCGTCTTCGGAGTCAGTGGTGATTTCCTCCGGTGCCTGGGTGGTGGATTCTTCGGGGATTTCAGGGGCCAAGGTGGTCTCTGGTGCCTGAGTGGTGGATTCCTCTGGAACCTCGGGAACCAAGGTAGTTTCCTCCGGGGGGCTAGTCACATCGGTTGTGGATACAATATCGTCTTCGGTCGGGGGTCGGTCCGTGGTCGGCGGTGGTGGTGGTGGTGGGGGACGGTGACCGCCATGACCATGACCTCCGTGACCGTGACCATGGTTGTTTCCGTGACCATTGCCTTGTCCATGACCATGGTTATTGCCGTTCCATTGTCCGCCATTCCACTGACCCTGTCCATTTCCACTTCCGTGTCCATTTCCGTTCCACTGATTCTGACCATTCCACTTCTGCTCCTGCACATTTTGACCATCATCGGAGGATCCCCAGCCGAATTTCCTGGCCCACCATCCGCCGTTCGGCCGGCCAACAGCCACTGCAACCAGGGCGGTGAACAGGAAGAGTGTAAGAACCTTCATTTCGCAATTGTTTCGAATATACTAACTGGGTCCACAGGTGGCTATAGCTTTTATAGAAATCTGATAACCACGGCCCATACCTTCCGTACCTTCCAGACATTGCGACCACGACCACACACTGCCACATTCTTATCTAATCGCCAAACATGTCTGATAGTCAGACCAACAATAATCGTAATTATCATATTTATCTGAACATGAATTCGGATTGCTTGTTTACCGTTTGCCTTGAACTTAGACATGTAAATACTTCTTGGAAAACAAGTGAAAACAAAACAAATTATTTAAAATTTTCCCTAGAAACAGTCATAAAAACTGGCTAGATTAGTTAAAAATTTCGTACTATATCTTTATAATCAACCCCAAATCCGAAATCGTTTTATAATGATTATACGTGGTGAAACGAAATTGTGTTATGCGTTGCCAGGCGATATTATAAAGTTATGGTATCAGGTGTTTTCTAGTCCATGGCAATTGATTTTAATTGTTTTTTAGCTATGACTCACGAATTTGCTTGAAATTTTCATTGTTATCAGTGGAGAGCGGTTATCGCGAAATTTCCGATTGATCATCATGGAAAAAACGTAGAGCAACCGCGATAAGATTCCTAGATATTTTGTAATGATAATTTCCCCCATGTGGGAAAAACAATCCGATAGCGCAGACCCTTAAGATTACCTCGTCCATCGATGCCAATAATCTGAAAAAATGATTTCAATTTCCATCAAAACAAACAAAATATAAACTTAGAACGCAGAACGCAGAACTGTTTATAAACACAGGGACTTAAAACTTTTTGCATTACCACGTCACGATTTTATTATGCCAAGCGCAAAGCGAAGTTTGCAGTAAATGTAAATGCGTGCTATATATGTATACAAATATACGTTTTTCTCCCCCGTCTAGGATGACTTTCTGCTGGCCAAGAGAAACAAACCGTCGCTGTCCATTGTCAATCCCCTGGATGTGCTGCGTCAGCGGCTCCTCCTGGAAATCGCACGCAGGCAAATGAAGGAGAACTCGCGCCAGGTGAGTTTTTATTCCGTTCCTCGCATCCTGCAATAAACGCGCCACGCTGACCACTTTGCAAGGTATTTTTAATAAGCTAAGAAGTAAGAAAGTAAAACTTTGGCCTGCCAGCTCCCCAGACAAACGGAAAACAATTCCCGCTAAAACGCCGTCCCGAGTGGAAAGAGTAATTCGGTGCCAAAGTATAAATGAAAATGTAGCGGCTAATCAAAACTAGAATGCCTAATGAAAAATACTTTTCCGAAGCCATAAAGAAAGCGCAGCTGCAGAAAGTTTTTTAATTCCTCGCAGGAGGCAGCGAGTCCAATAAATATTTCAGGGACTAGAAAAGAAGGGCCCACATACTTGCTCCGGGAATGTAAACAACATATCCTGGGAGACCCGAAAACAGGGCTTAAGCACTTCGGATGGCCCTGACACCCAGGATATAAATATATGTGTACCCACCTACAAACATGCATAAGGCTCAGGCTCAGCGCCAAAACAAAGCCAACGCTGCGTATGTGTAACACAAATATTTTTGCTCGGTAACAAAGCGAGTTTATTTGGTTACCAAACGTTTCGACCCCAGGGCACACACAAAAAACAAAAGACAAAAAAAGGCCAAAAAAAATCAAACGTTTTAATGCCTTCATGGAATTCAAACGATTTGCCTTGATAACTTCACCTTGCGTCCCACGAATTTCCGTTAAAGAGGGTCATGGATGAGCAAGGGATGTGCCTATCCATCCACCTATTCACACACGCCGGAGATAACATTATTGATTTGTCAAAGGGGTTTTAGAAATTAATCCATGCATCCCAAAAGCAATTTGAATCGGTGAAAGATGAGCTGAGCAGGTATGATATTCTATGCACACACCTGGGACTTTAAGTAACCTGCATTGAGATTGGCAAATATAAAAGGGAAATAAAATCTATATATATTCGATTTTAAGCCGTTCAAATGCGGGTTTCTTGGGCAAGCTGACAATATTCATCCCAAATAATTAAATAGTGCAAGAATAGAGAAATTAAGAACGGAATCCTTTATCCTCTTTCTAGTGCTAGCACACTCTATTATACACCGAACAGACATTCGACACTTTAATTCGAATGCAAAATAAATTGAATCGACATATTTATTCACAGCTGGAAAAATGTGATCTCAATTTGGTTTCTGCTCCATTTCCAATAAATGCAAACCGACTTTCGAATAGCCAAAAAATGCAAGCTTCAGCAATCACCTGACGCTTTAAAACTCCTGCAAAGCGGTTGGCAAACAGAAAGAAATTTAAATAAATATCGGTGGCATTTCAAGAATTTTGCAAGATGGCATTTGGCTTTGAATCAAATTCGATTGGGGCTAAGATTAAAAGGTAGATTGTCATACACACTTTGTTCATCTTGTACTAATATTCATTATGACTATCTAACAATTAATCACCTTGCTGTTAAATATTAAAATGACTTCCAGACAAACACACCTGCTACTTGAAAGTGGCTGGGAAATTTAATGAAATCAGTGGCTTTAAAAGAATGCCTTTAAGTTTCCCATCGAAAGGATGCAAAGTGTTAAAATGTAAATGTAATATGTCCCTATGCTCAATTAATGAAATAACGAGATGACATTTGATTGGCGAACCAAATTGGAGCGTTAACAACATTTGCCAATGTGGTCATCCATCATGCATGTCAATCTAGTTTAGCCATTTTAAAGGGAAAGCACAAGTCCATGGGGAAATGGGGGGCGGTTGGTGCGACTACCTCCCTGCAATTTGTCACCCATTTTACAGCATTTAACAGGATTTCATGTTCGTATTCTCGTCCAGGTTGAACTGAACCGCGCCATCCTGAAGAACGTGGGCAAACGAGTCCTGCTGCGAGGAGCAGGATCGCCAAAGGTGAGCAGGCGCTACCGCCAGCAGTGGCCAGTCGAGCGGGAACTGGAGCGGGATGGAGTGCCTGTGCCCGAGGAGCAGCTGGACCGTCAACAGCTGCTGCCCTGGAAGCATTTCCCCAGCCAACTGTGGAGCTACGGATGGTCCCAGTCGCCCTACCCTTATCCCGCATCGTCACAGTTTGCGGATTCCCTGCAATCAACATCGAGTCGACCACTCGCAGGTCAGAAGGCAGCCGCAGCTGCTCAGCAGTTGCTCAGCTATGCGAAGAAATCTCTGGACGTGGCCGGAATGGGTCTGGCCAGGCATCGGGTCAACGGAAATGAAGCTAACGAAACAAATCATGAACACGAGAATGGGAATGGGAATGGTTATGGGAATGCGAATGCGAATGGGATTGTGAATGAGAATGAAACTGAAAATGACGACGGCAATGGGGCCAGTAAAAACCCGGCGAGATATGTGGATGACGATGAGGAAAACTACAATGACGTGGGACCAGAGGGAGTGGGAGTGGGTATGGGATTGGGCTTGGGTCTGGAGAGGTTCGATGCGTTCGAGGACAAGCCCAACTGGGCCAACGAGGAGGAACTGGTGACTTCTGGCGGCGGCTTGGGAGTGGGAAGCCGAGGAGTGGCAAATGGCAATGCAAATGACCGACTGCCCTGGTCCTTCCCCTACCGCTTTCACAAAAGCCAGCATAATGTTAATTAAGTAAGTGAGGATTGAGATGCAAGTATACAGATACGGATACATATATAGATAAAGCTACTGATACAGATACAGATATATAATACCGATACGGATACAATACGATAGGGGCACTCGACAGCTTGGTGGTGCTAGATGCTAGCTGCTAGAGGCTAGCTGCTAGAGGCTAAATGGTTATTAATGCAAATCGACGGTTCCTAATGGCTGGCTACAAGGCAGGCATGTTGTGTGTGCACATACTCCCTTGATGACAAATGACAAAGACAAACTTACTCCCACGTTGCTAGATGTATTCGCATTTGAACTCTATTTTATCGAAAATAACCAACGGTGTATGTAACGATTTATGCTACCTCTCTCGCAGATACTGTTGAAAATAAAGCCCCCGATTAATGTCAAACATACCCACTTTACTAGATCGAAAACGAAACTTTTACTAATACACCGAAGCTATGGCGAACAAACAATTCTAAGGATTATAAACGTAAATGCATGCGTAATTGATAGTGATCTATGTGTAATTTTAATAATTGTTTTTAACGATTAAAGTTAATTAATCAATCGCATGCAGTATTGACCTGTCGAATCAGATTTCACGTGTTTTTATTCATGTTAATTATTTACTAACTACCTACTACTACTAAAAAATGTAATATTTGTGGTTTACATTCTCCGCGGGCGGAAATCGGTTTTTGTGTTTGCTCCGTTGTGCTTTAACTTGTGTAAAAAATGCTCAAATAGAATTAACATAGTGCAGATACCTACTGTTTAAACGCTCTTTCTGTTAAAGCTGCATTTGGTCACTATTAAATTTGCGTTGTCGAAGGGTTCAAATTATAAGATATTAAGAGACAAATGGTTCCAAATCATACGAATTACGAATAACAAATAACGATTTTAACGTAGATCCAAATCAGCCCTGTTACCCATTTACCCAAGCAAGTACTTCGCTACATGAATACGCCACGTGTTGTGTAAAATTAACAAGGAATTTACCGAGCAAATTAACCATTTAAACGTTACGTTCTGTACATTAATAAATTTAATACAAACTAATTTCCCTATGTGTATGTAAATAAAATTCCTTTTTCAAAAAAGCTAAACTAATGAAATTCCCAAAAAAAAAAAAAATGAAATCAAACGAAAGATATATATTATACAAAATTATATGTATGTACGGATATACCTACTTATTAAAAAAAGAAAATAAAATCATGAGGCATTGACATGACATTCAATTATAAAGCATTTCGTTTAATTAACTTTCTAAGGACTCGATTCCCGAGATAAGCGTTCATTCATAATTCTGTGGGAATTATTTTCGCATTTAAAATGGCAAGAGGACAAATGGGAGGAGGGAAGTAAGACAAAGGTTTTTGAACTCACCTTTAATCAATACTTACGGCAATTGTGTTTACATGGTTTGTTGTTTTTATTTTTCAATATAAGTCTGTTTCCTTTACAGGGTATCAAGTGATGTATAGGTTGGGCCCCTAATTTGCCACATCCTTGTACTTAAATTCCGAAACAACAAGTTTCTATATCTATGCCTTTATTAAACACTGCGATTTCACTACTCTCATGATTAACTTTCTGGGGATTTGGTGCGTTTTTTTTTTGTTTTGGATTGACCAAAATGGATAAGGGCTAATAATTGTGCTGGTTGCTCCCGAGTGCAAACAATTTGCCCTGCCTCACCCGAGGGCTTAATTAATAACGTTGTATTTGCGCCGGATTACACGAAACTTTAACGTCCACCCAACGAAAAAAGATAATTATCACAGGGCCATTAGGAGCCCCACTCACGTACAGCCGTTGACATGATGGCAAACAATGGCCATCGGGATGGGGAGTGGTGCTTGGGATGGGGATAGGGGGTATAGGTCCTCGTTCGGGTTCACTTGATGTCACAGAGCAGGGCCACGCCGCGCAGTGTCCAGTGCTTGGGATTGAACTCGGTCTCGAAATCAATCGAGCCCACGTACTTCAAGTCGGTGCGCTGGGGCTTGCGGTAGATGGGGCACTCGTACAGCTTGGGATCCTTCCCAGCCGTCGTGTTTATCGCGTATATATAGATGACGGGCATCTGTTCGTAGAGCACCTTCATCTTGGACTCAATCAGCTTGCCGCTGCGGCGATCCAGGGAAGCGCCTGCAAGACACGGATTCGAAACTTGGAGTGGAGGGTTTCAACAGGTAAGTGGGGATGTAAACTCACCCTCCAGGAACAAGCCGTGCACATACACCCCCTCCGTGGGATACTCGGTGATGTCTTCCCTGTTGTAGCGCGTTATTTGATTCTGCAGCACCACCGAGTCCAGGGCCCAACCTTTGTGGGCTCGCGTCACCTCCTTAGGGGGGATTTTCAAGTATTTCCCCGCAGATATAGATATGCAAAGAAAATGGAGGAAACCGTGTGAAAAACCTTTAAGGACTGGGAATCAGATATGTCAATCAGCACAGGCAACAAAAAATATTGTACGTTTTAATGGCAATCGCTGGGGCATAAAGGAAATGCTCCATGACAAAGGAATCATTCTGCTCAGAACATCGATTTCTGGTTAAAGCCAAGTGCGTTTGGTATTCATATCCCATGTGCTTATTAAGCAACTATGCAATAATAAATGACTTGTATTATTATTACTCACCTGTCGCATGGCTGTTAGGAAGCCTTGAGGATTAAAGAAGCCGGTCATCCAGAAAACCTAGTTGGGTTTGATCAGGAAAAAGAGTCTTTTGGATAGTTATCACAATGATTTAAGTTCAACTCACCTTGGGTCTATCCGTTGATATCCAAGTTCGGAACTGCCCATTACGTTCCAGCAGCTCGGTGTACCAAAAGCCCAGAGTAGTTGATTCCCAGGATATCTGAAAGAGGTAAATATTTTACGAATAAAAAGATAGCATATTTTTGCCAACAAGTATATGAAAGTTTTTATTTGTATTTTAAGTCTAATCATTTTTGAAAATCCCTATTCATTTGTCCAATTGAATGTTCATTCGACGGCAGTAGGACTCCATTTCCTCAAAGGAACTCATAAGATTCGCGTCCTTTTGAAAAATGGGCAGATGAAGGCCAGAATTGATGGGACAAAAGTGTTGACTCAGCTTTATGCCCCGAGCAATGGTAAATTCGGCTTCATCAAAGAGTTTGCGCTTCTGCTCGAATGCCGTCTTGCCCATTCGCACCGGTTCATCCGATAGTATCGAGGGCGTATACTCGATATCGCCCTCGGACTCTATTTCATAATCGACCCTTTCATGGATGGTGTGCAACCTTTCCACCAGGCTCATTGCATTCATGTCTCCATGGGACTTCGGGATCGGTGTGTCCGTCCGGCTCGTCTTCAAGAATCCATAGGTGCGAGTCGTGAGATCTTGATGCGAACTGGTGGTAATATTGAAAAGGGCATCTTTCTTATAGCGGAACTTGTAATCCGACATTGCTCTATGGACGCTAATAGTATATAGTAGTATCCCGAGTGGTTTTGTGTGCGTAGTTGATGTTACTTTATGTATTTGAATGGTGTTTTCATACTACTGACGGTATTCTCTTAGAAAACTTAAAACCCACATAAGTTTTTTCCTAGTAGGATTTTAGTTGTATATTTTTTTGAGAAAAAATGAGTCCAACACATAAAATAGACCTTCGTTTAATGTATTTTCCATTATTTTCACCAGGTAACTGAATATGATTAGCAGGCTTTGGGGCGTCAAACGTTTTCGCGCATAATTTACGAGAACTGGAACATGAAAGGCCAGCGAAAAATATTATTCCCATGGTAGAAATCAAAAGGAAAATTGTAAAATTTACATATTCCGTGGGAATTCAGCCTGGCCTTTAAAAAGTATTTAAAGGGGATTAAAATGAACGCACAGTTTGGGTAGGGGAAATGGGTTTAAGCACTATTTTACTGTTGAAAACACTAACCTTCATCCAGGTCTCCGGAATGCGGGCATCGTACATGGCATCGAGTGACTCCTTTAGAGCTGGACTCATTACGATGGTGCCATCAATCGCCAGCTTGAGGTCACAGAGGCAGGTGTGAACGCGCTTAATGACCCTTTGCATCCGATCGATTTCCTGCCTGCAATTAAACGCCCCTTATTATTGCTAACCCATCCAAGGAGGGTAAACTCGCCTCAGGAAAATGTTCATGGGCAGGAGGATGCCCATCCGCATCAGGTTCTCCCGCACCTCGTAGGCGTTGTACTGGGCGGGCAGTTTGCGGAGCATGTCATCCGCCAGTTGGTAGACGATGCTCTCCCGGGTCTCGCCTCCCCCGCCGCCGCCCTCCTTGGGCTGCACACTCAGGATGGTGTCGAGGATGCCTGGAGGATGCGAGAGGAGCCGAATCAGAAATAAACAATCAAGGATTTTTGGTACCATCGAATATGCTAATGCGCTAATGCCCGAGTAGGTTGCTCAAGAGCAGCACGCCTCAAAAAAAGGGCCACCGAATATTCGGTTCATCGATTTCACACACATTCAGGTGCCCGAATTGATTATGCAACAGGGCTTTACATTAAATTAAGCGCATTGATAATTTATGACCCCCATTTTGGTGTCCATCAGCGGCATTAAACTAAATATAAGTGTTTTTTTCTTTCTGGTTTCAGGCTTTCAGTTTCGGTGGTCGAATTAAATTCGCATCGGAAATCACGGAACCACTCACCTTTGGCCGAGTTTATTTGGTACGTGATGTCGGCATTGGAATGCAGGCCAAATACCTCGGGGGTGTCATAGGCCGGCAAACTGTTGATATAATCGATGAAGCCCTGCAGGCTCTTCGTTCCCGGCACCTTGTAGCCCTTGTAGAACTCAAAGGAGTTCGAGAGCAGCGGCTCGCAGAACCACACCGAGGTGAAGGTGGTGAGGAGTCGCTTGTCAAAGTCATCGGTCACCCGGCCGCCGTACTGGACCTCGCCAATCATGTAGACCAGCGTCTGCCAGGAGACCCCCTTCTTGGGGTCCATCTCGTCCAGGTGGTTCTGGATGAACTGCACGCTGGCGGCGAAGTCGGCCTGGTTGAACTCGTAGGGTATATTCCAGCCCAGGGGGCCGAACTTGCGACGCTCCTGGACGATGGTGTGCAGAAAGGCCACCGTGTAGAGCAGCGGGGGCCATTGCGAGGCCGATGTGTAGTCAAGGAAGTCCTGGGTAAACGACTGGTGGTGGCGGTGGGTTGTTCCGCAAAAAAGATTGAAAATTAAATATTAAGCAAGCTCCCCCCGAACCACCGGAACGGAATTATTTGCGCCCACCTGGTAGCTGCGCTTTAGACTGGCACGTATCCCCTGTGGTGGTTCATTAGTGAATTTGAGAGCCATCTGCAGCAATCCGATGGGGAACTCGTTGTGCGGCTCCGTCGTTACCCACATGCGGAAGGAGTCGTCTATGTGCTCGCTCTCCACCAGCATGTCGATTATCTCGGAGCAGAAGGGCAGCGAGAGGTGCACGTTCTGGAGCAGCACCCAGCCACCAATGGCCATCGATTCGATTATCATCTTGCGCGCATGGTACTCCTGCCCCTGACCCATCGACACGCATTTCAAAACTGTGCGGGGGGAATTAAAATAAATAAGTGGCAGCGATAGTG